ACTACCATACTTTATCTCTATTCCAGCAGTTCCAGGCCTCTCTTCTCCCAGGTTTTCCCGACTTTCTCCTCCTCGCCAGGACCCTCCCCCTCATTCTCGGCTGTCACTTGGAAACTCTGTTTGTGTGGTTCGCCAATCGTTCCCCAAGACACAACCCTTCCCAGTAGGCCTCTTTCAGCACACGCCTTATCGCGTCCTTCCTCGTTTATATAGGCGTTGCGCGCCTTGGGAGGAGATAACACCAATTGCCTCTCCAATAGCTAAAACACACGGCGCAGCCGGCGAAGCGAGCAGTCCAGCAAACTCACCTACCGGCACTACGGCAATCGAAGCCCATTTTTTTCGACCCCGCGTATTGAAGTGGCCCCCCTCACTTTAGGAGCCAACAAGAACCAACCGACGGGAAGCGAAGGATCTCCACGACAACACATCCACGCATTCGCAAGCAAGGAGCAAACACACCCGTAAACACCACACAAACAAGACGACAAGGATGGCCGAAAAACCGTCGGTCCTCATCATCGGTGGTCTCGGCTACATTGGCCGTTTCCTCGCTCTTTATATTCACAAGAACAACCTCGCTTCCGATGTGCGCATTGTCGACAAGGTGTTGCCCCAGCTTGCCTGGCTAGCGCCCGAGTTTGAGGAAGCGTGCGCGGGATCCAAGTTCATGCAGGCGGATGCGAGCAGAGAGCGTACGTGTGGCCCCGACTCCGAATCCTTGGGATTCGCCATCCCTGCTTCCCGAGTTGCATATTGGACACATCGGACGAAATTGACTAACACGCGCGCGAACAGAGTCTCTCCAACGGATATTTGACCGAGCTGACGGAAAGCAATGGGACTACGTCTTCAACTGCGGCGGTGAGACCCGCTACTCACAAGAGGACGAGGTATACAAGCTGCGCTCGCTCGAGCTGTCGCTAGCTGTGGGAAAGGAAGCCGCCAAGCGGGGTGTCAAGTGCTTTATTGAGCTCAGCACGGGAATGGTCTATAAGCCGGACTCGTCGCCTAGCAAGGAGCAGGACAAGCTGAAACCATGGAGCAAGATTGCCGTCTTTAAGCTGCAGGCTGAGGAGGAGCTAGCCAAGATTCCAGGGTAGGTTTGACTTGATTCCCCCGATGACCACCTCTCCGTGTATGCGCAATTGCTTACATCTTGTTTTTCATCCAGACTCAACCTCGTTATCGTCCGTCTCGCCCACGTGTACGGCCCGTACGCACCCCAATGGGTAGCTACCGCCCTTTGCATGGCGCGCGTCTACCAAGCCCTCGGGTCCGAGATGAAGTGGCTCTGGACCAAGAACCTCTGCACCAACACGGTGCACATCGACGACGTGACGCGCTCTCTCTGGCAGGTCGCCGAATGGTACTCGGCCGGCAAGACAAAGTGGGACTCTGCCAAGATGGGCCCAACGCCGACCTTCAACGTGGTCGACAAGGGCCACACGACGCAGGGGACCATGGCGGACCTGATCGGCGACGTGTTCAGCATCAAGACGGGCTTCCAGGGCACCATCATCTCCAACTTTGCCAAGATCCATCTGCACGACGTGGTGGAGGACGTCAACGACGAGTTGCTCGGCCCCTGGGCTGGCCTGCTTGAGGACGCCGGGATAACGAAGCCCGGGCCCTTGACGCCCTTTATGGAGGCGGAGCTGCTTAAGGATACCGATCTGAGCATGGACGGATCGCGGCTGGAGGAGCTGGTCGGGTTCAAGTATGAGAAACCCCAGATCAATAAGGAGCTGTTGCAGGAGGTTATCGACAGCTATAAGCGCATGAAGTGGTGGCCTTAGAGCATTTGTCACCACACTGAGGGCGAAGGGGTATAAACACAAATGGGAAACATTTCAAAAAATCTGCGCGCCGGAGTTATCTGTTCTTTTGGTCGTCGTTTTCGGTTGGTCGGGTCGTTCTGGGGTTCGGGTCGTGATGCGTTATGAAGCCTTTTTCGTTGGTGGGTTGGTTGGAGAATAGGGATCTAGCATGAAGGGATGCCATACCGAAGGGAAAGGAAGGAGGAAGGAGTTGAAGGTGAAATCATCGTCGTCGTTATCGTCGGCGTCGTTACCGTCGTCATCATCATGTATCTAGGGCAAAGGCTGAAGCCTCCCAGGAAGAAGCTGTTGTTGCAAGCTGGGAAATGGGTTATGTACTATTAGGATATCCGTTTTAATAAGTCTCAGTTGTTGTTCATGTCTTTGCTGAGTCTTCGTGTCTTTTGGGTCAGTGGTGAGAGGTGGGAGGTGAATGCCAGTGTCGGTGGTTGTCGTTATCCTTGCTGACTACTGGACCAGGTCTTCGTGTCCTATGGGCAGTGAGTGTGGCATTGATTGGGAGGCGGATGCAAGTGTCCGTTTGTTGTTGACTTTGTTGAGATACCCTATCGTTGTTCCATCTGGGTTGGTGATCTGTGGTTGGTGGTGGGTAGTAAGCAATGATGCGATCCCCGGGATTTTGAGACTCAGAACTCTGAAACTCTGGGACTCAAGAGGGGAGGGAGAGGGCTTTATATAGTTGAGCGGTCCCATTCACGCAGAATTTCATGAAAATGGACTTAGCTGTTGGACTGTTAACGCCGGTGTTGGTGACTCGACTGTTGGTGGTGGATGGAAGAACGACAATGAGTCATGCTGGTGAGCGCTTCTGTTGGTGTTGCTGATGCATCCTGTTGGTGGTGAGGATGAAAGAAAACATCCATCTCCAACACGAAAGCACTCCACGACAAAGAGTCATGGGGTTGTTGGTGCAAAACCCGTGTTTCTGGTTCGTGTTGGCGACGTTGGAATTAAGTCATTCGAAAATATGATGGAAACATTGGCGGTTGGAAATCACCACCAACACCAACACCAACACCAACATGCTAAACCGAAAACAAAGAAACGCTATTCAGAGCTCAGATCACCCCAAAAACGATTTGAACCAACTTGCACCAACTTGCGCCAACATGCGCGCACTCTTGGTCTTGTGCTCTTGTGCTCTTGTGCTCTTGTGCTCTTGTATTTTCGTAGTAACCAAGTCGTCAAGCCCTAAAAAAAAAAGCTAATGATGACAACCTCCATTCGGTGCCATTTGGTGATAGTTTCGTCTTGGCCCATCTTGGTGTTTTAGCACAGCCCAAACGCCGCGCTAGCCAAGAATCTCGGCAGGGCAGCCTCCGGTGGTCTAGGTGGACAGCGGGGAGCCGGCCGGTGGACAGTGGACGGTTTCGGTCTGGGGAAAGGGTCCCGCTCGAACGAAAGGTGGTGAGCAAATTCACATGTCACGATTGAACACCTCGGAGTCGAAGGGCTGGCTTGGGAAAAGGTTGGGGAACGGTCAGGGGTGAACTTGAGCTCCTGAGGTGAAGATTGGGGGTACGGGGGACGGGGGTCTGAGTGGAAATCGAAGGGGGGTCTAAGTACCCCGCATCTTGTCGTCTTTCCTTTGTGATGATCAGCGAGATCAACGATTCACGAATCCGCGGATTCTGTTCTGCTCTTGTAGAAAATCCAACATTGACGATGTTGTCAAAGTCGGACGTTTATGAAGCAACACTGACGGCCTTTGGTGCTAAGATCGTGCATTAACGACGGCGTGCGTTCCCTTTGCCCCGGTTCTCGGGGGCAGTCACATCGCATCGCATCGCATAACGCCCGGCGAACGCACCCAGCCGGAGCCGCCATCCCACCTCACCTTGTTCAGGGCGCAAAGTGAATCAATCGGGTGAGAACACCACTTTAGGGAAGTAATGGCCGGGACAGTATCATGTTGATTTGATCTGACTTGCTCCATTCCATCATTAGCACCCGTAATCCTGTGGCCGGGTTGTTCCTCAAAATTGGTTTGTCAAGGTTGTCGAGATGGACAAAAAAATTGTCTGGGCAGGAGGTTGAACCGAAAGCGCCGAGAGACCCCCCCCTTGAGCTGTCCCCGCACGCTTGACAAAGACCGCCCAAAAAGTCGCGACGTCACTGTTTCTGGCTTCTGGGATGATGCTCGCTGCTGAGAACTGTGAGAACGCTGCAATACTTCCCTAGGAGCGCCATTTCGTTGTTTAGGTTTGCGCTGAGATCTAATCGTGTTATCAGACTGGCCATTGAGATTGTAAAAAGGTGAAAAGACTCCTGAACATGGCATTTGCGTTTGCGACAATATCGTCATTGTTGGAGGACGGGAGGCTGGCTGCGATCTGTGCGACCGACAGGACAGGACAGGACGAACGACGGGAGCAGGTGCACTTCGGGCAATGTGGATGAGATGCCCGTGGGAGATTGGAGGTAGCATGTGTTCACAAGCCGTTTACATACCTCGGCCAGAACCAATCCGAATTGTCTAGCTCTCAAGCCCGTGAAGTCGCATTTGGAGCGTTCATCTGGTACCGCAATTGGTAAAGATGAGTGCTCAGGTACCGCCGAGAAAGTCTTGGAACGGTGGTTCCTTGTGATGGATGGGATGGGGAGGGATCCATTGTCCTGCCATGTCCCATGTCCAATTGTCTCCTCTCCATGTCCGATGTCAAGCATGCTCCTCGGTGCTACCGCAGTCTTGCGAGCTGTGATGAATGTACCCCACTTCGGCGGATGTCTTGGGGTCTGCAGTGATGTTAATGAAACCCGATGCACGCGGGATTCATTGTACATCGAATGTGAGTGAAGTTATAAGATCGAGTGACGACCCCGGTTTTTCTTCCTCGAAGCTCTTTCCTCCCTTTGTGTTTATTCTCTCCTTCTTACTGAACTTCTGAGCCAACAACCCGACTCGTCTACCCATCTGTGAGTTACTTCTTGCCGCTACATATAACTGTAACCCCCGTTGGTTCCGGTGCTTGAGTATTGGAGATCTACGGGACAGAAGCGAAACGAAAGTGCGCAAGCTGTCCTGTTCTGTGTCTACCGCTCACAGTTTCTCGGGGATCCAGACACAGCTATAAAGAAGAGATCTGGTCACTAACCACCGTATTTCTTCATCAACAGCACATATTTCCTCCCCAAAACCAACCAAATCAAACCGTCAAAATGGCCGCTCCCGCGAACAAGACCATTGGAGACCTCTCCGGCAAGTGGATGATGGTACGTTTTCACCCCTTGTTGCCGACTCGCTCTCATACATTTTCCATCCTCATGTGTCAGAGTTTAGAGGTAAACAACAACCGATTAACCACCCCTTCTCCTCTCTACAAACAGAACAAGTCCCTCTCCTCCAACCTCGACCCCGGCCTCAAGCTCCAAAACATGAGCTACCTAACCCGCAAGCTCGTCACCTCGGTGACGCTCACCCTCGACGTGAAGCAATTCTCCGCTCCTCCTTCCCCTCCCGCCGAGGCCTCCGCTCCGGCCGTCATCCACGTCGACATCGAGCAGACCGGCACGGGCGGCATGAAGGGCACTTCGGAGAAGCGGTGCCTGGACAACGTCTTCCGCGACCACAAGGACTGGCTGTTTGGCCACGTCAAGGGCCAGACGCGCTGGGTCAACGCCGAGGACATTGAGGACGCCTTCTTGAAGAGCGGCTGGTTGGAAGGCGAGGAGGAGAAGAAGGGCCCTAATGGCGAGACGCACATGCTGTCTCATGTCGAGAGCTATACCGATGGCTGGACGGCGACGCAGATTTGGGGGTTCAAGACCATTGAGGGTGAGAGGAGGCACGTCAGGAATGTGGTGATTGCTAAGGGAAGCGAGAGGGTAGAGTTGCAGTTGGTTTATGATTACCTTTCTTAAGGTGCCTGGACTGGCGCTGAAGGGAGTTGGTCGGAATTTGAGTGAGGTGTGTACTGATACCTAGCTATGCGATTTACAATTTCACGAATTTTAAAGCAAATATGCCTGGCTTTCTTGTGGCTTTTATCGTGGTGTTTGCGGGTTAATGGTGATGCTCATGGTGATCATCGGCGTGAAGCAGAAATCCGGGAAAAACTTGGCGGAGGGGAACACCCATCATGAACCTGGTCTGGAAAAGGGAGGTCTCTTTCGGCTCACAATCAATGCCAAGGCAATTTTGAAGCGAAGAAATAATTGCTGGGCAGAGCAATTCGGCACGTGTCAATGTTGTATGCTGTGTTTTCGCCATGATACGCCGAAATGTTCCCCTTGTCGCTGTCAAAGTGATTACATGGCGAAGGTTAGATCATGTTTAGCATCCCTTATATTGGTATCGTTTTCACGTCTCATCTCCTCCTGGAACATATCTCGGGCCAGATATCCTCATCTTATGTTAAACCTCGAGGGATCAGAGCGCTGACAGTATCCATCCCCCATTATAGCCTATGCGTTTATCCATTGCTGGTTCCATGTTGAATGATCCTGTGCCCATGCTTTCCCGTGTAGCGAAAAAACGAACCACCCAGCCCAACCCTGAACGCCAGTGATAAAAGAAACGGTGTCTGTCGTTGGGTTACTGAAGGACTGAAAATTCCCCCAAAAGGAGCCGTGACTGCACAACTCCACCTATCTTCTGGAGTTGTCGAACCATGGTCCGAGTGTATTTCTGTTGTAGGTGTGTTGGATCCGTGACTTTGTTGTCATTCGAGCTTTTGGTATTTGCGCCTTGAATTTATCATCCTCTTCCCGCAGTCTCTTACGCAGGCCTCCTCTTGACAAACTCCTCCAAGTCCGCCACTGTCGCCACACCCAGGACAAACCGCCTATTCTCATCCGTGATGACGGCAAAATCCTGCTTCTGGCCTGCCGTGGCGACGCCGGCGAAGAAGGCCTCGAGCTCCTCCAGAGGTGTCTCCATGGTGATGACGTTGTACTTTGCGCCGCCCTTGCGACGGAAGCGCATCATGGCGGTGCGCACCTCATCTTCGGGCTTGACCTCCCCACGCTCGAGGCGGGCCTGTAGCTGCGGGATGGAGATGTAGCCGAGAAGAGCGCGGGTCTGCGAGTCGACGATGGTCAGGTGGGTGTAGTCGCGCTCAAAGGCGGAGAGGAGGGCGAGTGAGATGGGGTCCGACGGGTTGAGGGAGAGGGCGGCGGGAGGGTCGAGGTCTTCTACGGTGGCCTAGGAAGGATGTTAATTTTTTTGTCAGGATGGATTGAGTTTGGTCGACTTGTATTTCGAGTGACGTGGCGGTTCAACACCAAGGGGCATATGAGTAAGTATGTTGACGATGCCCCGTTGAGACAGACAGGATGCTTACCCCGCGATATCTGGAAGCCCACTTGGAGACAAAGGGCTGCTGAAGCTCGGGAACCGAGGGCGATCCTTCTGTAACGATGGGCTGCGCCATGATATCAGTCATTGTGGTGAAATCGCGTTTCAGGTAGTCGGCAGTACAGGTCGGCAGTGCAAGTCGGAAAGGTCGGCAGTTTTGTGTGTCGTCCGATAAGTTTTGTGATGATCGATCGATGTTCAATTGACGAGTCCCGTTGGGCAGTTGTGCGACCACATGTCGAAGTTGAGCCGAAAGGGTACCCTGAAGAAGACAGCTAAAACAAACCCTTTGACCAATCAGATGCCACGATGAGAGTTAGTCAGGGCATTTGGTCCACCAGGGCCACTCGCTACAGGGCTGTGGGCGGTGACAGAAACAGTGGGTGCACTTGCCGTGGGCTCCGGGTCTTGGGTGGAGCAAGTTTTGGTCCCTTCTTTCTGTTGCGAAAAGAGACCGCTCTCCAGCCTCTCTTCACCTCTAAGTACGAATATGCCCATATGAAAGACTTCTCAGATCTCCCTAAGAAAATGATGTCCAGCATGGTATATCAGACAAGAACTGCTGGATGAATTTGACGAAAATGCTACGCTGGACTAACACGACTCGAGCACGATAAAGCTAGCGATAAGACAAGATAAGAAATTCCAGTGGGCCTTCGATTGGCTGTGATGTCACACCACCGACGTCACCAAAACAGATCCGACCTGACCCCATTCAGAAACTTTAACGATGTACCCGTCTCACACCTTCAACGCTGCCGCATTACTGGCCAGCTTCTTTCATCATGGATCGCGATTACCCGGTTTTGGACCTTAATGGCTGCGATGACGGACAGGACCAGCAAGTAAGACGTGGAAAGAGCTTGCCTTTCCCATGCGCGAGCCGGCCTACCCGGACTCACGGAGAATCAACATCCACTCTTCAGCTGTGAAGGGTTTGAGTTTCATGATTCAGGTCTTCTGCTATTTAACAGATCCTGTCCGAATGTTTTCAGTGTTGAACGTCTCCTACCATTGTCTCACAGCTCTTCCATCTCAGCTTTCTCTCTTACGATAGATACCCTAAAAGTTCACTTTCCTCGAACTTCTGCCGTCTCTTCAATCGTCGACATACCACGACTGACACCACCGTCAGAAACTAATTCATTTCAATACTTGTAAGTCATGCTCTTTTATTTCAGTTCGGAAACTCGGGTTGATCACATCCCATGTGTCACTTTGTTCCTTAGCTCTGTGTCACATTGCTACCGTTGGGCAGCTCCTATCAGCAATGCGAATCCTTTTCGGAACCAGCCCCTCACTTGTCTCGCGAAGCTTTCCGGGCTGTCATCATCTCGTTTTCTGACTCCCTTTCTAACATTTCTCCAGAAACATCTTCACCGGACAAGTCATCAGAAATAGAGCACATCTGTCACGATGCCGAGCCTTTACCCATCATCCGATATCCTCCAAAACACCTTTGGTAGTTCATTCCAGCCCAAGAACAATGGCGCAACTCCTCTCCAGGCTCGCACCGATCTTTATCCCGCATACTCGATAGTCGACGATGCGAAGAGCAAGGCACATAAGCTGAGTGCTGAAGCCGCTCGCGAGTTTGACCTTGCCAGCAAAGTGGCCCAGGAAAAGACAGGACACATTCAGCTGTACTCCCCCCAGTATTATGCTGCATGCACATTTGGCGGTTTGTTGGCTTGTGTAAGTCTTCAATTCTCACGCGGAATGACCCAAACGACAAGACTAACTCCTCGTTGTAGGGCGTCACCCACACTGGTGTAACACCTTTGGATCTCGTCAAGACAAGACGCCAAATCGACTCGAAGCTGTACACGGGCAACTTCCAAGCTTGGCGCCACATTCTCAAGCACGAAGGTGTTCGCGGCGTCTTCACCGGTTGGAGCCCGACCTTCTTCGGTTATTCGGCCCAGGGTGCGATGAAGTATGGCTGGTATGAGTTTTTCAAGAAGAAGTATTCGGATCTCGCTGGTCCCGAGATGGCGCACAAGCACAAGACAGCACTATACCTCAGCGCGTCCGCCTCGGCAGAATTCTTAGCCGATCTCGCACTCTGCCCCTTCGAGGCCATCAAGGTTCGCATGCAGGGTACCATTCCGTCGCAGTACGCGGGCACCTTTGATGGCTTCCGCCAAATCACCGCCAAGGAGGGTTGGGGCGGCCTTTACAAGGGTCTCTACCCTCTTTGGGGTCGCCAGATCCCCTACACCATGATGAAGTTCGCTTCGTTCGAGACCATCGTTGAGATGATCTACGACCGTCTACCCGGCCACAAGAGCGACTACAGCAAGGCTGCCCAGACCGGTGTCTCCTTCGTCGGTGGTTATGCTGCCGGTATCCTCTGCGCCATTGTTTCTCACCCCGCCGATGTCATGGTCAGCAAGCTCAACGCCTACCGCCAGCCCGGTGAGGGAATGGGTGCTGTCACCTCGAGAATCTACAAGGACATTGGCTTCAAGGGTCTCTGGAACGGTCTGCCTGTCAGAATTGTCATGATTGGTACCCTCACCGGCCTCCAATGGATGATTTATGACTACTTCAAGGTCTTCATGGGTTTCCCTACCACTGGTGGTGCCGCACCTCCAACGGAGAAGCCTGCTCGGCACACTTAAGCAGTTACATGGAAGAAATGATAATGATGGAACGGAGGTGGGTGTCTTTGTTGTCGGAGTTGAGCCTGGAGTTACAGATGTGTTTTTGTTTTCTATATCCCATTAGTTTATGAATGCATTATCCAAAAGTTGCATTGCGAAACACCATGTGTTGCCTTCAGTCGAGAATGTTTAATGTGCATTCCTTGTTCGTATTGGTTGTTATTTTGGAGGATGGATGGAGCGCAGAGGGCTCATCAATCCTTCCCGAGCACCATGTTGCCCTTGGCCAGACGTTTATTGTACCTTCCTTGTCTGTACGTTTGGTGGTTGTTCAATCGGTACCTGGAAGGAGCGTGCCCATCGATCCCAGCAAACTGGGGAACCCGACGAACCATTGAGGGAAGGAACAAGACGGCCCTGCCTCCCTCCTGCCTGTCGACATCCATAACGCCGCAACACCCCATTTCCACTGAGGATACCTGTAGAGGGTTCCATCCCCTTACCTTATCTTTTCTTCGTCCTCTCATCCTCGAATTTTGCAAGTACGGACCTCAATCAAACTCCGCCTTGCGACCATATCGAGTAGCCCAGCTACAACACCGTCACCAGCCCAGACATGTGGCCACGAGATCGTAGGTTAATAAAAGATATAACTCAAGCAAAGCTAATATTGGTAGTTCCACCAGTTGTATAGATACCCGACATGAATTTCGATCCAGAGATGCTGCCATTAAACTGTACCCCGCCGAAACTACCGCCTGATCCTCCTCTAGCCGGCTGACAGATCTGTGCACCGGCCGGGCCTGTATCCAAAGTTTGTGAAGCATCGGAAACCCTAGCACTGCCGATATACCTCTCCATAACCGCCTTCATTACCGACGCCGCTGTTGCCGCAGCATAGTTCTGCCATCCTTTATTTTTGTGGCTATCGGCGTAATCACATACGCCTTTAATCACGATGCATGGCACCTCGTCCCATACGCCTGCTCCCTCCATCTCGAAAGCGATGAGTGTGGTCTGCTTGGCGAGCTGATCGCGGTGCTCTCCCGACCGAATGACGCTGTCTCCGGATCCAATTGCCCCGATAAAGAAAAAGACACCCTCTGAATCCGAGTCGGCTTTGGGGTCGTTTGTGTTCGACTCCAGGTGTTGTCTTCGTATCACGCAGCTCGTACCACATCCCAACTCTTTGCATGACAACGCAAGAGACTCATCGCAAGCAGGGTCCAATTGGCCATGGCACTCTTCGCACGTTCTGCACCCGGAACCAGGAGCATGCTTGTGTGCGTACCAGGCGGGGAACAGGATGTCGTTGGCTGCCCCTGGTTACTTGTAGCTGGTATTCCTGCCCCTTCGCTTCCATTTGGCTTTTTCTCGCTCTTTGTCTGAAGAGCTTTGAGGAAGTCACCCGCCCGTCTCTCAATATGCTCGCGGTCCATGTCGGTATCGAGCTTGCCCAGAATGTTGCGAATGATCTTGTTCGGCCGTCCAAGGGTGTCGTGGCCGGTATCTTTGCGAACGAAGCGATCCGGAAGCGCTCTTCCAAGGTCATACTGGACCACGAGGTTGCTTATGATTACATCGCCGAGCACGATCGGGTCCCTTTCGGGCCCTGTGAACGGGACCGCCCCGCAAATGCCCACCAAGAGGGCAAGCGATACTCGCGGATAGCTCGATCGAAGACTTGCGACTGCGCTGGCGGCGTTCGCTTTCCCCATGTTGGGCAGAAGGACAAGGACAACATTACACTTCCCTATCAGCCCTGTCGTGTATATGTTCGGGTCCTCGTCGACTTTACCGTACTGATCGCCGTCTTCGTCCCACAGCTTGTTGATAAGGAGGCATACGGTGTCGAACTCGAGACGGAGCGCACATATTATCGCAACCTTGAAGTCGCTGCGCCCGTTAAGACGGGTGAAGTTATCAGGTTGTCGAGTCCCTGATAGTTCCATCGGCTAGGTACTTCCGTCACTTCTTCCTTGCCGATAATATTGTGATTCGAGACAACGCTGTCTTCTTCTTCGACACAGCTATTATTCACATATCTCACAACGAAAATTGGGCTCACTGCGAATATGGGCAAAGCTAGGTTGGGCACCAATCCGGATACAGAACGCCAACCGCGTCGGGGCAATGAATTTTTACGGTGGCTGAAAATTGTTCAGTAAGATTCTGAGACGGATAAAAATTGCACACCATCTCTCAAGGCTTAGGACTTTTGACAGCAGCTCGATCTCTCCTCCTGGGAACGAGCAATTTCTTCTATGTCGTCGTTAAAATTGGGTGATACTCTGGTCGACAACTGAGTCCCTCTATTACTCTTCCACTTTCCACTGCTCGACAATCATAACGCGCAGTAGCAATGACAAGAGTCAACTACAACGGTGACACGACCGGGCAGAACTTCGTGGTTGGTCCGCACGCCAGTAATGGCGGTGTGGTTTACATCAACTATGATCATGGTGCCAGCCGTACGATTTCGACCAAGGAGCCCTTCTCAAACGTTCCGTATGCGTTGGACCCTGATCACATCGACCGCCCAGAGATCATGACATGGCTACACCACAAACTTACCTCTAGCGAGGCACCCCGTAGAGCTGTACTCTATGGGCTTGGTGGAATTGGGTACGCTTCTCCGACGATTATACCTCTACTGTGCCCAAAGTAAACTTTCTGATCAGTAATTGCAGGAAGTCAAAGCTTGCTATACGCGACGCCGAGGACCTTCGCGGAATGATGCCGAAAACATACATCTTTTGGGTGAATGCGGGCAGCAAAGAAACTTTCGTGCGAGGCTTTCGCAATATTGGTGAAGAGGTTGGCATTTTGAAGCCGCCTCTTCCGGATAACATGACCGGATTGCCGAGGGATATCAACATATGACAGAGTCCCTTCACCATTCAACTCGTTATGATTCGACCCACAACATGCTCAAGCAGGTTTATGACTGGCTGCGTGACGGTGGGAATGGACAATGGCTGATGATCCTTGACAACGCGGACGACATCTACGTATACAGAGACCGAAAATCCTATAGTGATGTCCTTCCAGCCATGGACTCGGGAGCGCTTGAGACGTTTCTGCCACAAAGAGGTAGTGGTAGAATCTTGATCACCTCCCGCAGCCAACAGTTAGCCCAGATGCTTGCTCTCAGCCACGACAATGTTCGATCTGTTGCTGAAATGGACGAGAATCAGGCGAAACAGCTTCTTTGCAAGAAGCTTGTTCGCTCTGAGACCGATGACAAACTTGCAAGGGAGCTTGTTCGTGCCGTGAATTACATCCCCCTTGCCATCACACATGCGGCTGGGTATATCAACATGCAACGGCCTACAATGACATCCGCTACCTATTTTAAGGAGTTCAAGGAGAATAATTCGATACTTCTCAGCAGTCGGGTAGGGGATGCTCGGCACAATCCTTACGCAACAAACGAGGAAGTGGAAATAACCACCTGGAGAATAACTTTCCAACGGATTGAGAAAGAACGTCGGTCTGCTGCCGAACTTCTTTGTTTGACGAGTTTCTTTCAACCATAGGCTATCCCTTGCTGGATCCTATGTCGCTATTACAATGAGACGCACAAGGACCGACGTAGCGACCTCGCCATGGCCGATAGAAGACGGGAAAGAGCCGCAAGCAAAGAATTTAGAAGCGATCTCACATTGTTGTGCGATTATTCTCTGGTCACGCAAGCCCAAGACAAAGAAAACGAACTCGAGATGCACAGCCTAGTGCAATCTTTTGCTCGCACTTGCCTAGAAGATTCTGGTGAACAACAAAACTGGCGACGCTGCTTTCAACAGCTCATGGCCAAACACTATTCCGACCTCGATGATCAAAGGTGGAAAGAATGTGCCGAATTGGCACCCCATGTTGAGCCGTTGATAGAAACCACCGCACACGAGCTCAAAGACCAGGCCGATGCTGAATTTTGCGTCACGGTTCTCTGCAGGGTTAGTGGCTTTAACAGTTCAATGGGCGCATATCAAACAGTCATAAGTCTGTTGACCAGAGCGGAAGCACTAGCCAAGCAGGCTCTGGTAACAAACCACCCCAGCCATCTGATTGTCATAAGCCTCATGGGGAACCTGGAGGGAAATCTAGGTAACTACAGAGAAGCTGAACTGAACACTGCCAAAGCATACTTCGGCCTGTAAGAGGTACTGGGCCTCGACAATCTGGAAACACTCCGCGCCTTGAGACGCTATGCGTTCTGTCTCTTGAGGCTAAGAAAATTAGAGGAGGCGCACATGGGTTTCTCCAAGCTCATCGAAATAAGTAACGGTTTTCTAGGCCCCGACCATCGCCTTACGCTACGAACTCTTACTGGTCTTGGGGATGTTGCTCTTGAGAGAGGCAATTACGCGGAAGCAGAGCAACTTCATCGTCATGTATTTGAGCTAAGGAGGGACAAACGAGGAATTAACGACCCAGATACGCTGGGAAGCCTGGCGAAAGTTGCCCGGGTGCTTCTGAGGCGAAGCACGCATAGATACCCGTATATATTCTGGGCTCTTGAACCCCCAACGGAAGACCCGAGCAAACGAGCTCAGTTGCGAGAGGCTGAGAATGTTTGGCGGCAGGTGTATGCGCTCCGAGAGCGGCTACTGGGCCATGAACACCGCGATACAATCACAGCTTTGTCCAACATTGGGCTCATAACCTAACAGCACGATCAACATGAAGAGGCGGAGAATATCTTTCGCCGGGTATGGGAGCTTCGGAAGAGATTGCTGGGCTCTGATCATCCTTCAACTCTAAATTCCCTTCACACTCTCGGATGCGAGCTGCAAAGCCTCGGGCATTACGGAGAAGCAGAGAAAAATTTCCGTTACGCGTGGGAGTCGAGGGCGCGAGTGCTAGGACCTTAAAACCCTAGTACACTTTACAGCCTCCACTACCTTGCGCACACGATCAAGCAACTCGGCCGACTGAACGAAGCAAGGGAACTTCTTTTCCAAGCATGGGAGATCCGAAAACGGGTATTAGGCCCTGAACATCCTGACACTGTCGATACCCTTCGCCGCATTGCCCAAACAGCAGAACAGCTTGGAAAGTTGGACGAGGCAGAAAGTTCCTTTCGCAGGGTACTGCAAACACTGGAGAATTCATTGCCTCGTAGTAACAAGGAAACCCTAAATTGCGTTGCTGGATTGGCCAGGGTTTTGCACAGTCAGGGCAAGGACAAAGATGCCATGCTCTTTCGGACGGCGTGGAACCTACCGCTGCAACCTGAAGAGGAGAAGTGGAACTTGTTCCAAGGGACGCCGAAGGCTTGCGTCGAGGTTCATGTCGTTCATTTTCATAAATCCAAAGTACCAGGTCCTGATTACGATGACGATGATGACGCCCCGTTCTACGAGCGGGAGTAAGGTGCCACTTCCGTATCTTCAGCCAGTTCACCCCATGGTACTCCAAAAGTAATACGACAAGATACACTGAAGCTCCAGAACAAGACCAACTTCCGCTCTCTCAAGTCGCATACCCGTGTGAAAACATTCTATCACTCTTATTTTTTTGTTATTCCTAGAGCGCCCTCTGGATTAAGCACCCATATCACTCATAGCTCAACTTCAAGGACGGGTCGGCCCATCGCGACCACCACGGACACTCGGCGTTTATCAACCAACCGTGCACTGAGAGTAGGGATAGGTAAACTCGTTTGAATATAGAGGTTCGTCTGTTTTTGTTGGTAAGTGCATGCAATGAATAAAATTTTCCGACGTTTATTCAAGAGCCTGACTCCCTTCCAGACGCAGAGATTGTTCGAAGTCTTGAAGTGCTTCACTTCATGCATGGCTCGATACATACACAAAGATACTCACACCTCAAACGCTTGTACACTCGAAAGAAGCTGGTCAAGTCCAGAAGCCAAGACGAGAAAAAAGAGAAAAAAAAGGAAACCCAAACCATACGCCACCGTTCAAACCAACCTCATACGTTCAGTTGTTTGTGTCCACGCCGCCCAGCCGTTAAATACCATTCCGGCAACCATCAGTCATATCCTCTTTAAGAACCACACTCCACTGATCCTTCATAGATATGCGTCCCTTGTCTCCACATTTGTCGTAAACCACCTCGGCCGCCCAGGCGATTTCGCCGTAGGAATCGAGTTCTTTGTCGGCTTTTGGGTCCTACAATACAATAGAACAACAAGTGTTTTATGTGTTAGTAGTATCTTGTATGTTCCGCAAGTAAGGTACGGTGGTGAAAGTAAGGGAGGTAGGTAGATAGGATGACAGTCAGGACATACATCATTACACCAAAAAATCGCCGCACCATAACTACAGCTCACCCGCCCACAATTACCCGGGCCCCGTCCGTTCTTCAGCTTCTCCTGGACCCCATTGAGATACTTGATGCTATCCTCGAACCTATCCCAATTCCCCGCGGCTTCCCACTTGCCCCACTTGTCGCTGCCGCTGTGGTTCTTTTCGTCGTCGCAGTCGACGCTGATAATTTCCCGACGGTTGTAGCGGGTTTCGAGGATAGGTTGGGAAGAGGATGTTGTGGTGTTGACATCGCTCGGGGTGGTGGTGGTGGGAAAGGCGAGGGCGAGGGCGGTGGTGGGGAGGGCCTACATTGGTTAGGTTATTGGGTTAGTGTGATGGTTGGCCTTTACTTGGTGTAGCTTGGTGTAGCTTGGTGGGTAGTTTAGAGGTAGAGGGTGGTGGGCTTCTTACGTTCAGCACGGCCAGAACGGCTCCGAAGAGGCTAAATGACGAAAACATGGCTGGCAATTAGAGTGACAAGTTGAAACGCTTTTAGAGTAAGTAGATCGTGAGCATGTCAATATAAAGTATGTACCGGTCGATGAAAGTAGGTAGTGTTTCGTTCTTGAGTGAACGATAACCCCAGCACTAACACGTCGTCCTCGCCTTATTATATCACTTCAACCCCAGCATTTAGTTTTCGACATGCTTTGACACATCTCTTCTTGTCACACGCATACATGGATTCTCGCCGTGCGTCAATCAGGACGGGGAGTCAGGGCGTCATGTCACAAACCAACATTTTACAAGGGCGCGGCAGGACATTCAAAGCAAACTTCTCACCGTGGATCGAAGCCGTTCCATATTTTGCATCAAAGAGTCGAGGATATCCAGTGATGATTGTTGTTTCATGGCAGATTCTGATGAACAAAGCCTTTCATAGTTCGGGTTCATGTTGGCAGCCCTGGCTGGTCTTTTTTGTTTGGCTTCTTGGCAACGGGCTGAAACGGAATAAGATGCGATGATAACAGAACTGGTGCAGGTTTTCGAGTGACGGTGATAGGGCAGTAGCTGATTTGGTTTCCTTTCCCCGTCAACCAATACTAAGTAACTGGACCTATTGAGTGGTTACCGATCACGAAAATGAATAGTTACCACGTCGATAACTTCTTTCTAGACACTTGGAAGCAACTCAGATGCGGTTAGGCCGTCCTATGACAGCTGACGTCCGCGTATCTAGCAAACACGGGGCGCACTGGGAGATGTTCTTATAGCAGGGTGGTAGTGCACGGTATTTTCAAGGCAGGGTATAGTGTGAACACAATGGCAACACAACTCTTAACACCATCTCTCCTCTGGTTCGCGCCAATTGACACCAAGGATCTCAAAGATCTTTCTCTCATCTCTGCCCTCAACCAACTCTCCCTGCGTGACCTTGACTCGATCACGTCCCCTCATCACTTCCTTGTACAAACCCCTCTGGTTCAACCGCATTCCCTTCTTCGATGCAAGTAGACGCATGCTCCTGTTGAAGATATCGTTACCGGTGAAGTAGATCAACGCAGCGCCGTACTCAGTTTCAGGAACCAGCAGAAAATCTACTCTGCGCCATACAGGTTGTGGAGTTTTGGGCGACGCTGACTTGGCTGACCTCCTGGTTTTCACCTTGTCGTTTGTGGGTTCGTGTGCCCGTGGAAGCACACAGCAGCCAAGCCATTTACTGCCTGGTCCATCCTTCCCAGGCCGGGTTGTGTTAAGCGCTGATAGAGTAGCAACAACACAACCCTTGTCCGTAAGCACCTTGAGCAGCCGCTCGAAGAAGGCAACCAGGTCGGCTGATGAGGTGGTATCCTTCTTGGTAACAATGAAATCCACATCCCTTGAGCTCTCAGCTCCACGCCGATAGCTCCCACCTATCAGCAGCTCGACAATTGGATCGATCTGCGCTGCTTCCTTCTTGATGTAGTCGCCTAGAGCAGCTACCTCGCTTCTTGGAATGCGCGTATTCAGGTCTTCATAGTGTTCAATACCAATCCGTTGATTGGGCGTCAAATTTGCTTTCTGTTTCAAGTCGTCCAATGTCCTGAAGCCCTTCGAAATCCACTTGTTGGCACGGCCTGTCCCGACATCGTAGATCTTGAGGAAGGTGGCGAGAACGTGGTCTAGCGGAGAGTCTTGAGCATACTCCAGGCGTCGCAGGGAATCAGTTGTGACAATTTCTTCAATCTTTTCGGCCAGCCTTTTCCCAACGTTGGGGAGACGGTATGCTTCCTCTGCTGTGGTAATCTTGGTGTTCTGGCGTTTGAGAGTAGAAATAGCTTTGCGGTAGGCTGTAGTGCGCCAATGGTCAGAAATCCGGCTGTAACAGTCGCACATCAACTGGAGAACTTCAATTGTTCTGGCGTTAGGGTTTTGTGACTCAGTGACTTTGTCCTTAGTCCCTCCCTTGTTCCAGGTAAACCGATCTTCAAATTCAATCTTTTTCTGGGTAGCTAGGCGTGTTCTTTGTGAGCGGCGCTTATGGGCATGTTCGTCTGCAGAGCCCTCCTCCACTTCAGATTCCGAAATTGTCTCCTCTTGGTGAGAGGTGACTGATTGAGCATCATCTTCTAGCGGATCGTCCAAGGGGAGATCATTGTACTGCTGTAGGAGTTCGATACACCCCGAAAGCTCGTCCTTCGGATCATCTTTAGGTGGCCCGTCTTGACGATTACATGATATTTTCGGTAGACTACTTGTTGACTGATGCGCTCCAGAGAGTAGGCTTGGGATGATGGGTGGTCTCGGTTCTGGTATGTAGTCATCATCCTCCAAATCTGCAGCTGTTTGCTCCTCAACCACAAGCTTATCGTGCCTCTCATGTACATCGACCGACTCGGCATGAGGAATTGACTCCCCACTCTGTGATTGTGTTTTATCCTGCGAGCTAGGGACCTGCTTTCTCCTTTTCGCCGTTGAGACCTTGACCTGTAGCGACTGATTGGAAATCTGCGATGCAGCATGGGTATCTGCTGTCTGTACAGTCATTGTCGATGAACCTTGAGGAGGCCGTCCAGGAATGTGATAGCGAGCCTGGTCCGGGTTAAGAACAGTGCGGAACTGAATACAATCCATGGGATATTCTTCGTTAACAACGACTGGCGCAGATGGCGTAGGGGTAGTCTCGAGAATAGTTTGGATATCACTGTAGACGAGACGCTTATCGACAATGACATGAGTAGCCTCGGTCAGAGAGCGAACCCACTTGGCCCCGTATTCCTGGGCTCTGGCAATGCGCAGTCTGCGAGCGGGGGCAACGTCGTCATTGGGAATGTAGAAGAACGAGAGAGTGCGGAGTATCTGGTCTGCTTCGAGTACAGCTCTTGTCTCGGATTGGCGCTTCCGTTTCCTCGTAGACGATTTGCCAGACGGAGATTGCTGAGTAGGAGACGAAACAAGTCTAGTTGTTGACGGTGTGGGCAACGTCGCACTTCTCTGTAGCGACGGAGGAACCGGCCGAGCTGAGCTTGTGCTTGGTTGTGGTGTTTCTGTTACAACAAAGGAAGTATCCGAGACATTGGCCAGATCTCTTGTGTTTCTGAGAGCAGTCTTTCGCAGATTCTGTGTTCCGGGGGTGGCTTTGATGATGTCGAGTCGCGATGTTTTGGAGAGTGGAGTCGAAGTTGTCGCTACCGGCTGTGTATGAGGAATTGTCGGGATGTTTGTCTTTGACTTTGGCTTTGGTTTCGCCTTGGAACTGAAGAAAGCCTTGCTTCTTGCGCGATGTTCTTGTTCCTTGGTGTCGAATTTTTCGTCATCACTGATGGTCTCGCTGAGAGTGTCCAGCACCTCGAAAAAAGCGACCTTTTCTTGCAGCGTTTGGAAGCTCATCTTGGTCGATCAATTGTGTGTTGTTCGGGTCTGAAAAGCAACTAAGCTGCTCAAAGTTACGGCAGATAATGGCGGTCGATCATTTCTTCGCTTCAGGTTTCCATTCTTTGTCCAACCTGAACAAGCGGCTGCTGTTGCCTGAATTGTCTGACGGAACCAACCGACTCGTCCGAACTCGGACCTGAGAACATACGGTCGTTTGCACACGATGGAAGGTACGTCCGTAGCGTAGAGTCGCTGCTTGACTCTGCGCAATGTCGAGCGGCAGTCGCAGTGATGGAGAGGCAGGAGAGACTGTCCACTGTCCCGTGATTGCCTGGAATCGAGTGAGGTTGTCGTCGCAGTCGGGATTTTGTTTGGATCGCGCTGTTCCCTTGTAGCTGATGTGGGGCAGAAAGCTCTTTGGCCGGGAAACAGGCGCGAAAGTCAAACGACAGCACGTGGTTACGCCCGGTCCCGCTACCAAATTCTTGGCTTTCAGGGGCACGTTGGGGACCGTGAGAGGGGATGACGCCGATAGGTCGGCCGATACGGTACTGGCAGCTGCAAAATGGGGCTTGCCCAGTGGCGGTCTGTTTCAAGCTCCAATTCGCTGGCCGCCGTCATTCGCCAATCGTCACAGCTTCCTCCTTCCCCCTTTTCGTTACAATTTACACAACAAGGACATCATCGACGACACTCACGACTGAAATCTTCAAACTCCCGTCCCCGACCGAATAAGGCCCTGTCCGCTCCCTTGCTTCAAGTCCACTTTGCTTCTCCCATAATCGACCCGGCAGAATAATTCCACCTGGCGACAAGCCGCCCGTCATTTCTCTTGTCCAGCGACCCATCTTCATCACTACACAGTCCACGCTAGCGTACTATTTGCTGCTAATTCGAGAGAGCATCCTCAACGTTCAATCGACTTGACCGTTTGAGTTGTTGCCCATCGCTACCTACCTACACAACAAGCCCGGCCTTATTGCTCTGTCGAGCCCCGTCTTCTTTGCAACTCCAGTCCGAGATCTCATCGCTCCTTATTTCAATCACCTACCATCATCCACGTTCTATCTACTACAGCATCCAAGTTCAGAACCCGTGTAAGCCGGTACCATGTCGAACCTCTTTTCTGGAATGTAGGTACCCGTTCTTCTTTATGTCTCTCTGTCATCTCACATGCTCGTCGCTTTCTGTTTCTCTCCACAGTTGCCCTAGTGGGCTTCACTTGTGAGAGACTGCGATTGGATGGTCATCGCTTATCCGTGTCTCTGGTTTCTCGGGATGCATATGTCTCGGTTCTGCTTTCTCATATTATCAGCTATCATATGTCATTATGTTACCGTGGTGGGTATGACGGCCATCTCTTGCGCGACACTTTTGGCCTTGAGCCGCCTCGAGTCGCATAGTCTTTTCAGGGTCACCCAGAAACAACGGCCGGGCAGCACGCACAGTACATATACTATCATATAGTGTCCTGTCACGACGACACTGCCGTTACGGTTGAACGTTCTTTGTCCTTCATCATCCTCCAATATCCGGTTCTGAATACAAAGCATGTCTTGGATTGTCGAAAGATGCTGACCCAACCAGAAATGCTCGCCTGAGAGGCACGGCAAACAAAACGACGTCAAACAAAACCCCCCAATCACCCGCCACCGACGATGTTCACCATCATATGCCCTCACCCAGCAACCATTCGGTCTCCAGCCAGAGCTCAGCCAACCTCTCATCCAAGCTGCCGCCACTTCCTGCCTCACCCTCACTATCTCAGTCGATCGGTATGATGGGCACTGGTGAAGAGGCACTCAACGCTTATCACCTTCCCAGGCCACTACCACTATGGCTGAACCCTACTGCCGCGAAGCACATCGTCAAGGGCAACTTCATGACACTTAGCGCTAGGCCCAAGACGGTGGAACAGGGCGAGTGGATTGCCCATCAGGGTATGTCATCATTGATTTTGTCACCGATCGCTACACGTGTTTGTCCGCTGACAGTATCATATAGTGGTTGAGCATTATCGCAACCTGTGGAACTTTGTCAGAGTGATATACGAAAAAGAGGAGGATGGAAAGTCGATTTGCAACTCCACCACCTGCCCCAGGATGTCCGCTGGAACGTAAGAACGGAAACCCTCAATGCCCATGTTGAAGCACCTCAAGGATATGTCTGACAGGAATGGACACAGGAACCACTCGTACACGTGGCTAAACAGCCGGTTTGAGCCCATTGAGCTGCCAGCATATGAGTATATCACTCTCATGCAGCGGTGGATTTCGGGAAAGATTGACGATACCAAGATCTTCCCTACCGAGGCGTCGGGAGTCTCGTTTGCACATAACCCTCAGATTACCACGACGGCACTTTTGACGGGTCCTGACGACTGGATCGGCAAGCGCAGCGGATTCCCCAAGGAGTTTTTCAACATTTGCCAGACCATCTTCCTCCAGATGTTCCGCGTCTACGCTCACCTTTACTGGGCCCACTTTACAGAACCCTTTTACCACCTGAACTTGGAGAAGCAACTCAACAGCTGTTTCAGCCACTTTGTGCTGACAGCTACCGCCCTTGATATGCTCAAGCCGGCTGAGCTTGAGCCAATGCAGCCTTTGATCGACCTCTGGGCCGCCAACGGTACCTTCCCACCGGAATCAAAGGCTTACGAGTATGCCAACCTCAAGGTCGGCACCCGTCTGATGCAGATGGCAGGCCTAGCCTAATCACCGAAGCATTAACACAGGGGGATGTAAAGAGAAAAGAGGGCATGCCATGACGAGGATTATCAACATGTGGAGTTTCTTGATCTATCCGGATTTTGTTGGGTTACACTATAGAGGATAGATAGTGGCCATGTGTGTGCATTAAACCGGAGTCAGATGTGGCAGGCAAGAAAGGCGACGAATGAGGAGACTTAATGCCAAGACAAAGTATCTTTTATATACCTGGCGGAAAATGTACGGGTTTGTTGAAGAAAATGACTTGTTCTTGCGGGGATGTTGACTCGAGATGGCAAGGAGACCGGGCAGTCGTCAGTAATTTTGGTCCCTGTACAGAATTATGGCTGAGACGGATTTTTGGACTGACTGTCCATTTCCAATGGATCTACAGGTGGTGGGAAGGAATAAGATATCGGTATCGCTCCATACAAACACACAAGTCAACTCCCTGGCGACAACTACTACACTCAAGAACATTGATGCCTCACAATATGGTTACACCTGATGTCAACAGTTCTCGACGTTCGACATGGGAGCACAGACTAGCGCCAAAGTGGCAAGCACCAGGGGACCAGTGGAGTGTTCCAAGAAAGGGTCCAAAGTTCCATCAACGGGCCAGACTGCCAAGACAAACCCAAAAGCGCTAGAGCAAAAGGGGACAAGCCTGAAGATGGGACGGCGTCGCGGGGCAAAAGATTGGATAATGCGATAAAGCGGATGCAAGCCCCATGTTCGGGCGCGCTGTCCCTGCCAGTGCCTGCGCGGATGTCGGACAGCCCCCTTGTGCGTGTTGTGAAATCTGTGACGACTCGCACTTGCGGTTGCGGGCAGGCGGGAAAGGTGACCCCACCATCCAGGAACTGAAGCGCAGCACAAGAAGTGGGGTGTGGATCAGATTTGGCAACCCAATTTCTTACGGCCAGGCAAAAAGTTGAGGCAAAGGCAAGGCCATGCTGGACCCGTCTGGGCGTCCACACTGCACAAGCAATTGCCATTGCGGCAGCGCAGAGTCTGAAGAAAACTTCACAAGCATCAGGCTCCCCTTCGACCAGTGCCTCTCCATCCTCCTTCCCACTTTTTATCTCCATAAGGTACTTTGAGTCGCCCTGCAAATTTTCCAGCTTTGCACTTTCCCTTCTTCTTTTGATTCTTCCTTTTGGTTTTTACACCAATTCATCTTCAATTCTTGTCTGTTTTCCCCAACACAAACAGCATCATCATCAAACAAACAACAGTCAAGATGACCAATCAGATGGAAATTGAGGTTGCCGACCAGAAGCTCAAGAGCATGGATCACGCCGAGCAGCACTACTTCAACAGGTACGCACATCCCCTTCTTGTCTCTTCTTGTTGACATCTTGCGGCAGAGAAAGACAGAAGCTAACATTACTGCGTCCTCTAGCTACAACCACCACGGTGAGACACCTCCATCCGCTTGTTGCGAAGTCCACGGACTGCGTGCCTCATAGTTTGGCCTCGTGGCCATTCATAGTATGCCTCCTGCTAACCTAGATTGTTGCGCTACAAAGGCATCCACGAGGAGATGTTGAAGGACGAGGTTCGCACCAAGTCGTACATGCACTCTATCGTCCAGAACAAGCACCTCTTTAAGGACAAGATCGTTCTCGATGTCGGCTGTGGTACCGGTATCCTCTCCATGTACGTTCCCATCTCCTGCGCCGCGCAGACCTGCAGCTTTGGCACTCCTGGAATGCGCCAGAGACTGCAGTTTAGAATTGGCAAAACAGCCTGCTAACCTCTTTTTTCTTCTCACAGGTTTGCCGCTAATGCCGGCGCCAAGCACGTTTTTGGTGTTGACATGTCCACTATCATCTTCAAGGCCCGCGAGATCGTCGAGGTCAACGGCCTCTCCGACAAGATTACCCTGATCCAGGGCAAGATGGAGGAGATCAAGCTCCCCGTCGGAGAGGTCGATATCATTATCTCCGAGTGGATGGGCTACTTCCTTCTCTACGAGTCCATGTTGGACACCGTCCTCTACGCCCGTGACAATTACCTGGTTAAAGGCGGTCTAATCTTCCCCAACAAGGCTACCATCTGGGTTGCCGGTATCGAGGACGGTGACTACAAGGATGAGAAGATTGGCTGTATGTGCCCTGCCCCCCTCTTTGTTTCTTGACATTGGGAAAATTTTCGTGCTGACAACGTTTTACCAGTCTGGGACAACGTCTACGGATTCGATTACAGCCCCCTTAAGGAGACTGCTCTCTCCGAGCCCCTTGTCGACACTGTCGACATTAAGACCGTCGTCACTGACCCCGTCAACATCTTGACTCTCGACCTTTACACCTGCACCACTGCCGATTTGGCTTTCAAGTCCAACTTCCAGCTCGTCGCCCGGCGCAATGACTTCATCCACGCCCTTGTCGCCTGGTTCGACATTGAATTCACCGCCTGCCACAAGCCCATCTGCTTCTCGACCGGCCCCCACACCCAGTACACTCACTGGAAGCAGACCGTCTTCTACCTCAAGGACGTCCTTACCGTCAAGCAGGGTGAGAAGGTTCAGTGCTCGCTCCACAACCGCCCCAACGAGAAGAACAAGCGCGATCTCGACATCACCGTCGACTACAAGTTCGAGAACGAGGACCCTACGAAGGCGGCTGAGGGCAGGTGCTTGTACAAGATGTGCTAGAGGAACTCATATGATGAGGATCTGCTAGACAATAGTGTCAAATCGACGTGTCAAAAGGACAAGACGCGAGCTGAAAAAGCGGCCTCTTGTCCATGGTGAAGAATGTCGAAGAGATGTTGTTGAGCTCACAGTATTCACAACGAAAGTTTTTGGGGGTATTGGGAATTTGCACGGCGTCTTAAAAGAGCAGGGGTTGCTTTTTCATAACCTTGGGTTTTGTGTTTTTTCTTTTTCATATATTTTCCTTTTTACGAACTCTCTACTAGCGGGACACCAGGAGTTTTTCTTAGATATCCAGCAGCGGAAAGGAAGCGCGCGCGGAGAAGAAAGAAGAAGAAACATACAGCAATAAGGGATCTAAACTCTTATATACTCTGTAATACACAGAGTTAAAAATGAGTCAATTGCTTAAACTGAAGTACGATTATTGCAAAGGCTATACGTTGGGTTGGGTGTGGTGTGCGGTGTGTGATTGCAACAGCATCTGGAAGATCCAAATCTACGGAATGTTTGAGTTGATGATGACGAGATAGTATGGGAGGATGAGTTTAATACTTGATGTAATTCATGGACAAGTGAAGAGGAAGAGATACAAACTTGCCGATTGACACAGCTGTTGACCTTGCCAGGAATGAAGAAACCTCGCCAAATTACCAAAGCAAGACATAACCTCCATACATTCAGACAACGTTAGATTAATTTGCCGCGCTTGATGATGTTCCAATAAGCTATTGCCACGCCACACGGCCGACGTCGAAATAAACTTCATCAAGCTTGTTGGTAAGAAGCTCCAATTGAATAAAAACATTACCCCTGCCTTTGTGGCTTTGTTGATTCCTTTGCTGGTGAAGTCTCAAAGAAGTGTCAACGGCGGCAACAAAGCAGGGCAAGGGATGGAGTTAGCGAACGGTTGTTGGCGATGCTGGTGATGTTGGTGTTGTTGAAATAAGCTACCCCGCCGCATCCGCCCTGGTATGACCGGACCATATGACTGAGCTGACTTCGAGATAAAGTTGCAGGGCGTGTTGGTTCCTCAAAAAGGCGAGAAGAAAGGGATGGTTGGTTTGTTGGTTGGCTGGTGATGTTGAAGGGAAGTAGTGGCGCCGGCAAAGGATGAAGACCATCCACATACGACAGACAAAACGTGGAAATCAAGTTTGTCTGAGCTTGTTGGTGGGAAGCGCTGACAAAATAAAGAACCCTGGAGGTTGAGATAAAGTTTCTGGGTATGTTGGTGGTGATGTTGGCGATAAACGCCAAGAGAGAAAAGAAAGAGGTGTTGGTGATGTTGAAGAAGTAGCACGGTGGTGGCAGCAAGGAATCGGAACAAGCGCAAACAAAAGACCTGGCAGTATTCCAGTCTTGCGTATTAGCGCAGTATTTTGTTTTGGTGCGTTATGCACCATATTCTGTTAGTCGCTGATCAAAACTGGCTACCAACATCAACAAAGCCACTTTTTCTATCAGCGGTTACTACCAACAAGCTCAACAGCTTTATTTCAACGTCCGTGAGTTAGTTCAAATGAGGTTATTTGCTTAATTCAACGTCGTCGGAAAATTTCTAGCCTTGCATCGTTTAGGTAGATGTCGAGGTTTTTCGGTGTCAAACAAGGGAGTTCATCATGGCTGCTCTGACAGCATGTAACTAATCGAGACCGCGAACTGTGTGCAGAGAGGAGATACAGAGACATGATCGTAAAGAGGAGAGTTGTCATTGACTATAACTGGTTTACGTACGTTCTACATTATCTGTTTACAGTTTTGCTCCTAGGAACCAGCACGTTCTTAGGTACGTGTTCTTCATTTCAGCTCCTTTGCTCGTGGCTGTTAAATTTTCTCTCCGTATCTTCTGCTGCTAGCTGTCAAGAACTTGACATATCATGTCTCTCTTCTTGCCATCCCCGACCTTGATAACCTTCCTTTTCATTTCCTTCCTTTCAAGCACTCTACATTATGACAGACAAATACAAGAAGCAAGATGAGAAAACCCCAAGCTCAAATGGATATACCTAGAGGTGACGCTCAAAGAAGATCCTATCGAAGGAGATCCTACCAGCGCTAAACTTTTGACCCCGAATTTTTGTCACTAAACTTTTGTCGTTGAACTTTTGTCGCTGAACTTTTTGACTCCTGAAATGGGAAATCATCAAGCTTTTCTGCGTTGCAAAGGAGCAGAAAAAAGACCAGGATTCCACCGGTAAGAAAAAGATCCGTCTGAGATCCGCTATACCCATCCACGCCACGCCATCAACACCAATTTTCGCCGTTTCACTTTTCATTTCCCCAACCATGGTCAGTGGTATCAAGCCACCCAAATTCTCAGCCAGCCAACCACCCAATCAATCAAACCATGAAAGCCATATAACGAAAGCAAGAAAACATAAACCACTGTCCCGCTAAAGCCGCCTTAACCTACCTCAACCTCAAACAAAAAGCCAAGAGACGACCTCAAAAGAGATCTAACGGCGTCCCTGTGGTCCCCGTCCATACCTATAAGGATCCCTCGGATCAAAATGTTTCCCCATAAACATCGGTTCAAACGGCGGCTCGCTCCTCGCCACACCGTCCCACTCCGGTTCGCGCTCGGGGATAGCGTCTTCCTCAACAGGGGGCGTGTTGGGATACGTCTCCTCTGCACCGGCGTTGTGAGGGTTCAGCGAGATCGAGTATTGAGTCTCCCTAAAAGAGGAAGGTGGTTGCAGACAGCCGGCGCGTGGGTCGAAGCTTGATTTGAGGATTGTGTCGGAGTCGGAGTTGGTGGGGGAGTTGGAGGAGGAGGAAGAGGAGTCCTAATCCGTCTTCTTCTTCGCTGTCTTGGTCTGTGAGGAGGTGCCTGAGAGGGGAAAGGGAGGGGAGTATGATTGGTCTTGGTCTTGGTCGTAGCCATGGTCGATGTAGGTGTAGTTGTCATCGTCTTGGTCGTACTTGACATATTTTTGGTGGTAGTCGACGATTGTGCGGTTGTCATCCTCGTCGTCGTCGTCTTCAGAGAAGTAATTGCTGCAGCTCGAGTTGAAATCCTCATCGACACTGCTTAGGGTCTGACGAGGGCGAGGGCGCCAGATTGAGTTAGGTGCTTCGAGTGGGATGGTGGCGCTCCGACGGGTTCGGGTGCGCAAAGTTGGGGGGTATTGGTAAGGAAGCCGATCATCACCGACACCATCTCCACCGATACGACCGGATACTCCCTGAGACACTTGCGAATGGGTGGGACGGTTGAGATTATACGTGCGACCGAATGGTTGACTACCGTGGCTGCCAGTACTAGAAGAAGTATCATTATGTTGAGAAATAGATCTAGACGACGACGACGACAGAGGCGTTACCCGCCCATCAGGATGAAGCTGGAGAGGAGAAGCGTCATAAGGCCTTTCTCCGAGAGTTTGCGCCCGCCGCCGCGCCAGAAACTCGGCCCTCTGCAGCTCTTCCTCGCGCTTTTCCATCTCCCTCCGGACCTCCCAGTCCTTCACTGTCTCATAACATCCGTTTTCAGCGTTTCTTCGCCTTTTAAGAAATGATTCGAAATCTTGCCCGCTCCAATGTGCCCATGAACGCCGTAAAACATGTTCCACAAAATTATCACTATCTGGGTCCGTACTAGAACCATGCCCGCTCTACTGGCTGTTTCCGCCGAATCGCTCAATAATCTGCGCAACCTGCTTGGCGAGCTCCGTGGCCTCACTGTTGGTGGCCGCCTCGGCGTACACACGGCAGGCGTTCTCGGTACCACTGGCGCGGGCAAAGGCGCGGGCATCCTTGTACTTCTTGACGGCGGCGTCGATTTGCTCCTGGGCACCTTCAGGGTGAGACAGGCGACGCTCGGCATCGGTGGTCTGGAAGAGATCCTTGTTGCCGACAACGACGCGAACGAGCCTGTTGGGAAGATCGTTGTAAGTCATGGCCCAGTCCCGAAGGGTCCAGTTCTTGTGCGCCAGGATGACCTCAACGAGGAGCATGTCGGAGATGGCGTCACCGACGGTCTGGTTGATCAGGTCGCTGAGCGCGGCAAGGGTGGTGAGAGCATCCTGCTGTGCGGGGGGATTGCGGCTCGGTAGTCTTGAAGGCTCTCAGGGCGTCAGGGGAGAAGAGAACGGTGCCGTGACCGTTGGCCTCGAAGTAAACACCGATATCGAAGCTCTGGGCGACGTGGTGAAGGTGCTTGACCCCAGTGGGAGTGCACATGACGGGAAGCTTGAGGTGGGAGCTAATGTAGTTGGTGCTGGCACCGTTGGCATAGGCGGTCTGGACAACACCAATGCGGAGCTCATCCTGCAGACCGGCGCTCTGAACGAGGTCGCCGATGAATGAGGCAGCAAGCGATGAGATGCGGTCGCCGTCAAGCATGAAGAAGCCGGTATCAGGGTCCACCCAGTAGTAGATCAGGCGGTCGGCATCGCCATCGAGGGAGCAGGTCCTGACACCGGGCTGGGGTGCGGGCTTGGGGGGAGCGCGTTGCTTGGTCTTGACGAAATCCGCACCGGACTAGCAGGAAGAACACAAAAGTCAGTATCCAGTATCACCGTAACGGGATAGAGGCAAGAGCACTTACGTCGAGGTTGAGGACTTCGGGGCGCAGAACGTCGTCGTTAACAATCTTGACCTCCCAGTTGACCTTGTCCTTGGGAACATATTTGAGGAACTCGGCGAGCTTGGGGCCTCCGACACCGTTGGCGCAATCGACGACCAAGGGGCCGTTGATTCTTCTGCCCTTCAAGGCGCAAACGAAAGCATCGGCTATTTTCTTGTAGTATCCGACTTCGCTAACCTCGCCGTACGAGGTGGGGGTGCCTTCGGTGTTGGTAGCGCGGACCAAGTAGTGCAGCTGAGGGGTAGTCAGGATCTTATAGTCGACATGCTCGGTTTCGGTCGCGTCCAAGGCAGCGGCAAGGGCGGTGACGAGCGTGTGACCGGACGGTCTGGTATCGCGGCCATAGATGACCTTCGCGGGGGCGCTCAAGTCGATCTTGAGCTCGGTCGCAAGCTGATTGTAGTACTGGACAAGATCTTCGGGGGTAGGGGCGTTGACGAGGTTGGTCGCGAGGCGCTCCCAGTCCTGCTCGAGCATCTCGCCCATGGGATCAACGATCTTGACGCCATTGTCGACGGCGGGGTTGTGGGAGGCGGTGATCATAACACCAATAGTCTGGGAGTTGAGCTTGCGACTGCGCAAAGCAGCAAGCAAGCCGACACGGAAGGTGACGCCCTCGAGCAGGTCAGCCTTCATGCGGAACCCCGCGGTGCCGTACTTGTAGAGCTGCCCCTTCTCCAAGGGAACAATGGCATGCTTCTGGGCAGCCGCCAGGATGCGTTCGTCGTGTTGCGCCATGGGAGGGAATTCGGAGTGTGGGAAGAGGGGTAGTTCCGTTGTCTGTTTCTGCTCAGCTGGTCCTGCGGTTCGGGAGTTGGGTTCAAAAAAAGAAGAAGAAGGGCAGAAGGGGAAGGAGAAGGAGAGGGGGGTTTCGCTTTTGCAAGAGTCAGCAATGATATACCAGTAGCGGGGTGTGGGATACGAGAAGGGCGGTGGAAGGCTGAGGAAGCCGGCCAAATGTGGACGTGGTATGTGGAAGAAAACAGAAAGGGGTTAGTTAGCCGGTCGAGTTAAGTTAGGTCTGGATGCAGATACGATGGGGATGTGGAATCCATGCCAATGGGGGGTGCCAGATGGAGATCGATTGGATTGTCTTGCTTGGATTCTGCCGGCTGGCAACGTGAACGAATCCACAGCCCACTCTGCAGCCCGTAAACCGGAGAGTGAATGTAGGTACAGTACAGTAACAAACGAATGAGCTGGTTTCACCAAAACCATTCAAGTTCCTGATAATTCTTTCCACTCTGTTCATCGCTGTATTTGGGCCGTTACAAAGGTCTGGCAGGTTCCACAGTTCCGCTGAGCTGTTCTGGCTTCTTCACCGTAGCCAGGTGGCCGTTGCAAATTGTTGAGTACGCCCAATTCCACAAGGTTCCAAGGTGACGAACTGAGTTGCCCGATGTTGAGAAGCGAAAAATGACTGTGGAAATTTACAGCCTCAAGTGAGACAAAAGGGTCTTCAAAGTGGGATTGGCTGCTAATTAAAAGAAGGAACGATGAAGAATTCAGCATGCAAGCTCTCGGAGCTGTTAAGGTGAGCTGATGAGGGGCTGCAGTAAGGTGACGGATGGGGAAATAGAGGGAGCCGCTAGCGCAAACCGCCCCGAGTCCCCACTTGTACGTCATGCCCAGCTTCGGTTCGCTAACGCACCCCAGCTTAAAAATTGTTAGTGCATGTTAGCGTTCCCCTGATGATCCACCGTTTGTCGCCGTTGCTCGGCCGACTCTCTCTCTTTCCCGAAATCAATTACACGACAAACGCGTTGTCGATCGCAGAGACGCGTCTCACCAGTAACCGTCATTGTTGCCTGTCTTTGACGACGACAGCCTTGGACCGGAAGTAGATGATGGCTTTTTAAAATCGGTTGGCTTATCTTGGCGCCTTTTTGGGATTCCGCTTTACTGGTCAATTGCTACCATCGTCCATCTTCAAGTCATCATCTTCCTCCATCCTTCTAGAACATTATTCCGCTTTGTTCTTGGTTTCTTGGAGTTTTGGACGAACTGATGCTTCTTTTTGCCAGGCTCTGGGTTGAAGGGCTAATAACTACTAATCATTTTTCTTATCTCGTTTCCATCTTTGCTCTCCAATATGGACGGCGACAATTGGACTAAGCCATTGTTTCTCGAATGGGTCAAGGAGTGGTGGGATATCGAACGCGAACGCAATTCCAAAGGCGCCCCTACCTACAAAAAGGCATACAATTCACTCAAGGTGTGTCCTTTAACTTTCCGGCACCCCGCCGAACTCGACGCACTCCACGGGTTTGGCCCCAAGATCTGTCAAAGACTTACCGACAAATTTAAACGACACTGCGAAGACAATGGCCTCCCCATGCCCCCACATCCCAAGGGGAAGCGAAAAAGGGAGATGGAATCAGCCCTCGTGGAAGCAGCTGTCGCGCAAAACGAACAGCCATCACCTCCCAAAAGAGCCAAGAAGGCCAGGCCTTATGTTCCAAAGCTGAACAGTGGCGCATATGCGCTGCTCATGGCGCTCTCAGATCCTGGACCATCGGGGTACATGGACAAGACCGCGCTAATCGTCAAAGCCCAACCTTATTCGGACACTTCCTTCACTGTTCCTTCCATGGCCAACAAATCATACACGGCTTGGGATTCCATGAAGACTCTTGACGACAAGGAACTTGTCCATATACGTGGTCGACCTACCAAAAGGTACTCGTTGACGGATGAAGGCTGGGAAGTGGTCAAGCGGATGAAGGAAGCACGGAACCTTGTGGATGGAGTAGGTGAGAAAACAGCTACGTCGTCTCGGACCGCCACCGCCAGTGGCAGTGGTACTTCGAATGTCAACCGCAACGATGAGAATTTCAACCCGAATCGGCCAGAAAGCGGAGTGAAGAGGGAAAGTCGATATACGCCTCTTGACACAAAACGGTTCGGCTCGGCTACAATAAGCCCAGAAAAACCACCACAGGCGAGACCTCGCACGGTAACGACAGAAATCATCTCCCTCGATAGTGACGAAGAAGACCTCAGGTACAACTTCGACGAAGAAGAGGACCGGAAACCGGCAATTATCCGAGAGCCGGCCACAAACCGCGAGGTACATCGACCTAGTAGCAGACGGCGACACCATCCCCTCTGACGAGTCCAGCCTCCCACACTTCACGCCCATCCGCCTAGCGCCCGGCTCCTTCACAGTCGAACTAGTCCTCGACACGCGCGAAGTGCAAGCCAAGAACAACCGGGACTACATCCAAGACGAGCTCTCCAAGCTGGGCATCCGGCCCATCATGCGCAGTCTCGAGCTCGGCGACGTGTTGTGGGTAGCCAAGTGCAAGCAGCTGGGCTGGCTTAACAGGCTAGGCGCCGAAGGCGACGAGGTAGTGCTCGATTACATTGTGGAGCGCAAGCGTCTTGACGATCTCACCGGGAGCATCAAGGACGGGCGGTTCCGCGAGCAAAAGTACCGGCTCAAGCGGTCCGGGATGAAAAACGTCATCTACGTCGTCGAGAACTTTTCTCTCGACCAGGAGGTGCGAAACAAGTACCAGGAGGCCATGGACACGGCCATGGCGTCGGTGCAGGTCGTCAACGGATACTTTTTGAAGAAAACCGACACCATTGCCGAGTCCATCAAGTACCTGGCGAGCGTGACGTACATGCTCAAGGAGATTTATGAGGCAAAACCGCTGTTTGTTATACCGACCAACGTCCTGACGGCAAAGAATTACCTCCCGCTGATCAAGCATTTGCGGGAGAAGGAGCCGTCGAAAGGTCACTATATCAGCTACCCGGCGTTTGCGAGCTTGGTGTCCAAGTCGGAGATGATGACGCTGGGCGACGTGTTTCTCAAGATGCTGATGTGTATCAGGCGGCTGTCGGGGGAGAAGGCGATTGAGATCCGCAAGGTGTGGAAGACGCCGTATGAGCTGGTCAGGGCGTTTGAGGCGTGCGGGACGGACGAGAACGGTAAGAGGAAGCAGAAGGCGCTGGTGATGAGTATGCTTTCGCATGTTGTTGGTCGGGGGAGTGTTGATAATGGGTTGAGTGAGAAGATTGCGGAGGTTTGGGGGTTTTTGTGATACCTGCCCCTGTTTTGTGATGGAAATGGCCCAAGAGCCTTGTTGGAGTAAATATTTCTTATATATGACAAAGTGCTGGATACGAGCTTATATATCAGGTCAAGGCATCATCCCCCCGAATAGACAGCATTGTTCGGAGTGCTGATAAATGATGTCCATCTCAAGATTGTGATTGGGCCTCTAGCCACATCTAGCAACGACTAAAGTGTGTGACACATCTAGAAAGAAACCCAACCACGTTACAATAGCAACACGCAACCCGACCAGAGACACCATAACGCCAATCCCAAACCAAGTCCTGAAATCCGTACCCGATACCATCCTTTCAAATCCCATCTATCTATGCAAACACCCATCCCAAAGAAATCCCCATGCTAGCTAGCTAGTCTAACGATTCCATGCTCCCATGGATGGATTCTGTCATCGGTCAATTCGCCGATATGCCACCATCACGATAGCCATGACTGTATCGCGGTACCTGCGCCCACAAACGCGCAACAATTAGCAACAAAACCCTTTCGCGTGACCACGACCTGCTTACTGGGACCATATAAGCACCTAATTGTAGGCCTTCCACCATGGTCCAGTAGCCTACACGGTTAGCGCGTCGGGTCCAGAAATGCGTGGTGTTTTCTTCAACCTCTGCCTTGTTCCGGGTAAGCGCCTCAGTTCAACCCTGAACATGGTCAGTTGACCTTTTTTTGGTTTGGTTTTTGGTTTTTGGTTTTTGGCTTTTTGGCTTTTTCCCCCCTCCCGCTCTGATTCCCAGTGGTACCTTTCTTCAATGGTGGATTCATTTCATCATCCAACCAAACCTTTTTCAGCCAACCAGCAGCCCCATTTCGCATGGGAAAAAGAAAAGGGGGAAAATGTCCAGAATTACCCCTGTTTCCCTATCACTTTCTCGTCTGCTCCTTCCTTTGCATCTTTTAGCTCTTCCAACCCAGCTTTAGGCACCTGCCAATCCCTAAACCTACCACTTCTGTCCCCTCTCTCCACCAAATACCCAAATCCCTCTCCTCCTCCTGCTTCCCCCTCTTTACCCGCCGGCCCCAACAAGAAACTCGGAACATCAGTGTTATTAACCACCTCCTCAAACACCCAGTTCTTGCTCCTCTCTTTCTCGTGTATATCAGACCACAGATCTTTCCCCTCTCTTACGTAACGAACTATCCTCTCCTTTTCACTTTCTTTCGCTGCAAGCGAGTCGGCGCCAAGGCGATGGCGATGCCTCATCCCGTACACCTCGTCGTTTTTGAGCAGAAATTCTGATAAGGTAGGGAAGCAAAACTCGCATGTCCAGCTCGCGTTGTGGAGGGTTTGTCGTCCTTCCCATTTGGCTAACCATTTGCTAGCCCAGTCGCGCGGTCCGGTCCACCCCATGCATCCCCTCCCAGTACCACGAGAGCCAGAACTCCCAGAAGCAGAACCAGAACGAGAGTCGTACCTCAAACCCGCCATATCCACAGTCTTCTTTCCTCGATAAACCGTAGCCTGCGGATGTGCCCACTCCACCTCTTGCATCTTCTCCCTCCCTTCCATGCCCTTCTGATCCCAGAACCCAGGGGCATAAGTCTGCGAGGCAGAAAACCATGAAGGGCGACGGACGAACTGGAAGGAGTAGTAATGCATTTTTGAGGAGAGGGTCAGGCGCTCGGGGAAGAAACATTCTCTTAGTAGACCGAGGGTGCGAGGGCGGGGGATCTCAGAGGCGAGGGAGAGGATGAGGATGTCATTTTGATGGGGACGGCGGGGCGATCCTACAAAAGAGGAAGAGTTTTGTGCAGGCACGAGGGAAGGGGGGTAGCTTGATCTGAGCTCTGAGTTGGGGTTGGCGGAAGAGGAAGGAGCGGTTTCGGCTTCGAGTGAGGGGAAGACTTGGTCGAACATGGCGTTTAGGTTGAAGTCTTCCCAAGGTGATACCGATCCATGCCCAGTTCCAGATCCGGATGCTCTCAAAATAGTAGTCGGCGGGTTGAAATCATCGGGGTATTCCACCTGATGATAAATAATCTTCTCCTTATAGGCGTCAAACCTCGAAGGAGTTTCATCCAAGGCCCGTTTAAGCAGCAGCGGCTTATTTCTTCCCGTAAAAGTTTTGGCACTCTCAACAAGAACGTAATAGTCGACTGTATCCCAGGTGGTGTTAAGACGGACTTCGAGCAGGTCGAGTTCCGAGGTGACTAGAACCAAATCGTAGAGCTTGCGGGGAGGGTCCGAGGGTTGACGGGGCTGGTAGGGTTTCCAGCCGTAGAGACGGCAAATGTCGTGCCGGTTGAGAGAGCTGCCCCAGAGTGCTTCATCGTCGTAGCTGATTTTGCTGTGGTCGATGCGAAGGTTGAAGGGGGAGAAAAGGAAGATGAAGGCCCATATGCTGAGGAGGACGGCGAGTGAGCGGGCATATTTGCCTGGGTTGGTGATGGGTTGGAGGAGCATGGTGGGTGATGTGGTAGTGCCCGGTAATGGGAAGAAACAAATGTGAAGATTGAATGAAGAGAGAGTGTTTCACAACCGGGCTTTGGTTGAAGTGAAGTGAAAGTAAGGTGGAAGGAACAGAGCATTAACAAACGGATAGAAGGAAAGAACACATCCGCACAGACAAGAGAGGTGACGTCGAAGTTCCATACTTTGAACTTTCAACACCCTGGCCATCTCCAATTGAGGGTCTGTCCCCAAGCAACGGACATCTCCCCCTCATGGATGGATTATACCTTGATGGTTGCCCGGTTCCTTGACAGACTGGGGCTGCTTTCAGTATGTACCAGCAGCTGAAGGGGTACCAATTCCCTGGTTGGTCGCCCTGTAACCAAGGACCCTTGCGGAACGGCAAGGGATGCATATCATGAAATCCAGAAAGAGTTTGAGGCGGCAACCATCGAACAATAGCATCGGAACTTTCTGATATAACTTTTGGACACTGTAATTCCGACACAAGCTCATCTCGCCAAAGACGCCTCTGTGGAAAATATGTCGCGCACCATTGAATTACTACCCTTTCTTCGTTGTCAAAGAATGAGTTGGATGACTTGTCACCTCCAAGTTCTCAATGCAGATCGATGTTGTTCCCAGGTTAATGTGGGGAGATTGGCAACGACCAGAGCAATGTCAGGGGTCCAAGCCTTCAAAAAGCTTGGTTGAGCTTGGTTCGCTGGTTTTCCCCTGGCCGATCTGTTTCAGAGCTCGTATAAAACGGAAGCGAAGCGACGGAAAGCCGGTGGGAGCTGCGGAGGTGGTGACCGGTCTCCCGTCCCCGGTGCGGCATCTGCCAGCGGGCTCATTTGGGTGTCGGGGTAGGATGTGCAGGACGGGGTTGGTTATGCGGCCGCAATTTCGGATCAGTAGTGGCATCCTTGTGTTTCATTGGGGGCGGCCACGACCGGCGTGGCTATTCAGATCAGAATCGCCTGTTTGGAAAGGAACCTACGCAGTAGAAACCGGCGCTTGTTGCCCTGTGTTTGAGATGTGATGGATGTTGTTGATGCCGAAGCCGGCGACGTAAGATGATGTTCTGGAACACGGGACCATTTTCGGGGTCGTCTTCAGGAGAATTGTAGGGAATCAGCTCGCTCTTACATAACCCTGGATACACTCAATACGTAACCCTGAGATGAAAGACCAGAGAAGTTGGTCGATCGTAAAAGAGCATGTTTGTATTTTGGGACATTTCCACCGGAAAGATGTAAGGAGAAATAACAAGAGAACCTACAAACATGAACAATTAGAAATGCATTTCACCTCCGTCTCCGTCAACCACATCCTCCGGCCTCGGCTCCGGCCCAAACTGCAATAAGCCGGCATAGCATACCCCACTATTAGCCGCTAACCAGTGCCGAGGCCGGCCCATCCGATCCACGGCGGGCGGGGGTCCGTCACATCATCGCCTCCCCTATCGATAACCCCGCTGGCGTAAACGGACACGGCGCATTCTCACACATCACCACAGTCATCACCACAACCTCCGACTCATCTCACCAATAAACTCACCTCTCTTTTAATATCTCGCACCAAGTCAGAGAGCTAAGCTCACAACAAACCAAGCCTTCAATCATCGTACCTTCCAAATAACCGCCAAAATGTTCACCGGCATAGTCGAAGAGATCGGAGGTCCGTATTCAACCCCCTTTTCCCCTCCTGCCCTCTCTCTCATGAACTCTCACTAACCCTCCAACAGAGGTGACAACCTACACCCCCAACGACCCCCTCTCCAAAAATGGCACAACCCTCACTATCACCCTCCCGTCCACTTCCTCTCTCCTCTCCGACTGCAACCTAGGCGACTCCATCGCCGTCAACGGCGTCTGCCTCACCGTAACCTCCTTTACCCTGTCCCCCTCCGCTCAATTCACAGTCGGCATCGCCCCCGAGACTCTCCGCCTAACCAACCTCGGCTCCCTGCGGCCCGGTTCGCGCGTCAACCTGGAAAGGGCCGTGCGCGCCGACACCCGCATGGGCGGGCACTTTGTTCAAGGCCACGTGGACACGGTGGCGGAGATAATCAAGATCACGCCCGACGGCGAGGCGCTCACGTTCCGCTTCAGGCCGAAGAACAGGGAGGTGCTCAAGTATGTGATCTGGAAGGGGTTTATCGCTTTGGACGGGACGAGTTTGACGGTTACGGCTGTGAATGATGACGAGGGCTGGTGGGAGGTTATGTTGATTGCGTATACCCAGGAAAGAGTGGTGGTTGCGGGCAAGAAGGTGGGCGAGACGGTTAATGTGGAGGTGGATATGACGGCGAAGTATGTGGAGAAGAGTCTGAGGGGGTATTTGGAGGGGTTGCTTGGGGGTTCGGGTTCGTCGGAGGCAGGACAGGGAGAGGAAGGGGCACAGAAGGGGAAGGGGTTGTTGGAGAAGATTGTGGAGGGGATTGTTAAGAAGCAAGGGTCTGCTTGAGAGTGAGGGCTGAAAGGGAGGATGAGGGTGTGTGAGAGGTGTGTTGAATTCATGTGCTTTTCAGGTTCATTAAAAGCGGCTTTTTGATGAGATGAGTGAGATACGATTCGTGAAGTGTGCTGGCATGCACAAAAGTCAGCTGAATGATTGACTTCAAACGCTTCAATTCACTTGGTCACTTCCCTTTTCACTTACCACCCGCCCCTTTTGTTTGCGCTCCCGTCAGTTGGAAGAGATAATGTTACCAGTTACCTCCATGGCTAAATCACCATTCTCTTCTTGAGTCTTAGGTTTGCGTGCAGAGACGATCGAACAATCTTGGGTACTTCTCGCTCTTTCCCATTGCCATCCGTCACTCCTTCTTGCCGATGTACCGTCGTCCCCGGTATAGGTAGTATGGGAGAAGGTATGGAGAAGGTGCGACCCAATCCAACGTGTGAGTCCCGTTGCGACTTCCCACCTCAATCTCCGTAAAATCCACCGGTGAAATCGATGGAAGAGAATTGAGGCGCTTCCACAATACCTACCTAACCTAACGGCCCGGAGCTAAGTGACACTTGAAGGCGCGCCTCTGAGGACGACCACGACTGATTAAATGCGGGCTTTCTTAGGACATGTGGTGAGCCACTCATTTCATTCAGTTTAACAAAAGCTAGATGAATAAAGTCTGTCTGCAAATATTAGACAATAGTATATAATTCAGCTATCCTCCATGTCTATCCTCCTGTTCATCCTCGACGACGAAGATGACGATGACAAGAATTAGAACCACCAATATCTTAGTTGTATAATCAACCCCTACAATGAATCTTTGCCTGTACGCGCTCAATTTATCGTCCTGAAATAAACGCCAAACGCTCCGATAACACTCCTCGGGGGACGTGCAGACAAGCTTCGGGGCGACCTGAGCGGGATTGCGTGCAATGGGGTATCGGTTTTGTGAAGAGAGAAGTTGGAATTAGGTTGTTGTTTGGTTGTTAGTTTGGTACACAGGTATCCTTGGGTATCGTCGGAGTCGGAGTCGGAGTTCCTCGATTCTCAGTGTACGGTCGTGATTTGTGTGTTTGTGTTTGTATCTCGTGCTCATGCTCATTCCCATGTCCCCATACTAGATCATTTACTTCGTTTCTCCCTGATCAAATCGGTACAGCCTCGTGTTGCAATTCCAAGTCGTTCCCAGACTTTGGATTTAAAGAAGGGCAAGAGCAACGGCAAGGCCGGCACCGAGACCAATCTGGGCAGAACGGCCGGCACCAGCGGTAACGACAGGAGGGACGGCACCAGTTGATGAGGCAACGGGCACCTCGGAAGCGGTGGGAACCCAGGTGCCAGAGAAGTTACCATCGTCGGTGGGGTAAGCCGAGGTGATGCTGGCTGGGATTGAGGTTACGATCGTTGTTGGGGCAGGCTGGGTGGGAACATCAACGATGGGGGAGGTAGGGACCGCGGGAGGAGGGATGACGGTTCCGATGACAGTGCCTGATGGAGGCACGACAGTACCGGAGACGGTCTGAGGTGAGTTGGCGGGGAGAGCACAGGCGCAGACTAGAAATGTGTTATTAGCATATTGTCTGTTGTATTATCAAGGGTTGTTCATATGGGGAAGTCAACATGAATTCTCCGTGGATAGTTTCACTCACCCTCAGCAGCACCATCGATCACGTTCTGGAACTCAGACGCCTTGCAAGAGTCGGCAACGCAGGACTCAATGGCGGCGAAGAAAGCAGCTTGCTTCTGGCATTGGCAAGCAAAGTCGAAGCCATCACAGCCGACAGAGGGAGCGTTGTCAATGAAGCATGTCTGGGCGCATGAAGGGATGGCCTTGACAGCAACGGCGGTGCAACCGGACAGCTGAGCGTTCACTCCGGCGAGGAGGAGGAGGGCCCCAGCAACAGGAATCGTCGAGAACTTCATGGTGAATAGTAGCGAGCGACTGTGATCGAACCTGTGGTGTGAAGTGGTATGATCCGTTGGAGGGTGCTGAGGAAAAGGGTGAGTGAGTGAGAGAGCAAGGCGAAGGACGGGGAGAGAACCAGAGTAAAAGCTGGAGAGCGTGGCAAGCTGGGACCAGCTGCTTGCCAGAGGGCTGGGGAGGAAGTCCAAAATGAGCTTAGCTGAGGTTAATCCTAGCAGCTGTTGATAATCTCATGCATCAAGGTAGGATAGAGTCAACTCTGCCCACCGCCATGGGCAACGAAGATCGCCGGGGTGGAGAACCGGGACTCCATCATGGCCCAGAATTGGTTAGGATTGCGGAAAAGCTTGAGAAGGACCTTGCACGAGCAGGGTCTCTCAGCAAGGTCATCTCCCAGACTGCCCATTTCGACGCACCTCCCGAGGCCGGAGCTAGAATTTTCACATGGGGAGGTGTCCTTCTCGGCGGATATTTGGGCACACTCTTTTTGAAAGCCTATTGCATGAAGTCATAAAATCCCAACGAAGCTGGGTCTCCCCGCCCCATATCTCGGTCCCCTTGCTGCTCTGGGAATGGGGACGGTGGGGGATTCGCCGGGGAGAGAACCACATGGAGAGGAGAGGTGAAGATCCCGCCCTATGCCTGAGCAGGAAAGAGGGAGTGAACATTGCATTTGTAATTTCGCAGATTCGAAGCTGTCAACCTATCAGCGTTCAGCTTTTACACCGAGCGGGCTATTGTCGTGATTGATGTTGAAGGATGATAATCCCAGGCGCTTCCTTGATAGCATCGTGTCTGAAGCCAGCAAGCTATCACTTTACGACTTTGTGTCCTGATGCTTCCTCTCGACCAACTTGAGAATCAAGATCACTGTTGAGCCTTGGAGGCTAGACTCGGTAGTCAAGAATTAAACTCGTGTTGTTGCGACCTCAGATCAACGAGTGGCATACCCGATTCTGGCTAGGTGATAGCCAAGAGATGGTGGGTAGCGCAACCACCCAATCTCCCCCGCAGTTGCATGTGGACCGCCAAACCTGTTGCTGAGGTTCCTGAGCCACAGCAACTGACGACGATGGCGATTGGTCAGTTGTCGCCTCGCCGAGGCAAAGGCCAGCTTTGCAAGCGGTTTCTCTTTTGGCATATGATCTGGCGCCGTCCCATTCTGTTCTGAGCACAGCTTCTTGACCAATTTTCTTGCATTTCGTTGACCTTTGCACCGCCAGCACGTCTTGGTGTCGTTTTCGCTAGATCACACGAGGTTGACTGGGCTGATGCGAGCAATAAGCGACCCTTGGCGATGTATGTGTCAATCAATATTGACTTCAAAAAGCGGAGATATCGTCAATGGACTCCACGGTTTCGGCGGACGGGGTGGCCCGGTCTTACCCCGGATTTTCCCCGCAAGACCGGAGATTGGATGGGGCTTGTCAAATCCGTCATCTCCGCCCGTCTCGGGGATCTCTGGGCACCGAGGGGTGCAACGCTGTCGCCGGCCCTAAGCGGCACAAACCGTTGGGAGAACGGTATATTTGATGGTTTGTGCAGCGACTGATGTGCGCGCGACCGTGGAGCGTCACGGACTGATGAATAACCACCAAGCCGGCTCTGACGTCAACCTTCACCCCGACAGTCACTGTTGATTTAAAGTTGTGATTCCGTCGTCGTTCTATGCTTACAGTTCTGGCGAAAGGTTGTTGAGCGCCAGCCGCAAAGTAAGGGATGAAAATGGGTAAAGAGACGGTAAAGAGACGTTGAAATGGGGTTGGATCAAAGGACAAACAACACCACGGGAGAAAAGTCTGTTTGTTGTTGTTGGTTTCTTGAATGCCGAGCGGGCGCGACCCGTACTTAGAATTGACCGCTGCCAAGCCGGCGATTGCCAGTCACGCCCATCGCCGGCAGCGGTACCTTCCGGCCTGACAAGGCCCGGTGAGACGGACTAACAAAGAAAAGGGAACGAGCAATCCGGCCGGCCAGTGACTCAACCGGTCCGGTTCCGAACTAAGCATAATGTCTCCATCTGACATCACCCGGCTGCCTAGCCAAGGCGGGCCGGTTTGTACACGAAATAAGCATACGCTTACCACAAGTGAGCGGGTAGTAAGCGCGTTTCCTGTACAGCACCGACCGGCCAAGATTTATGTTTCCGATTGAACCACTTTCTTTGTAACGCCCTGTCACCCAAGCAAATGGAATGCAATGTTGAGGTGTGATTCGATTGACTTTGACAGCTTGGAGGTTCCCCTCATCTGAAGGATTCCGAACTCCGTCCTGTCAAACTGTCAGTCTGTCACTGCGATTCTGACAAGGGAAGTCGGCTTTTCCCCCGCACATGAGGCACTGGTGATGCTATGCTCTCCACTTACCTGATCTATTGATGATAGTACACTGCAGAGAAGATAGTTTTCATCGCATCATCACTTCTTCAATTGCTTTTCGCAGCAGGTCATTCAAGTAGTTTATAATTCATTGATCGCCGTTTTGACTCTTCGACTTTCTACCACATCGCTTCACCCACATACTTTTTTGCATCTCAGACTCTGCTAACCTCATCACCACATCCCTCCCCGCACTCCCGCGATATCACCATCACCATCACCAACATCACCATCATCATCACCCACATCACCATCATCATCACCCACATCATCATCATCATCATCATCATCATCATCATCATCATCATAACCAACATCAACAACCATGGGCTCTAACAACGCCTACGGCGGCGAAGAGGAGATCAACGTCCTGATCACCGGCTTTGGTGTAAGTCACCTGCATCCCCATCCCCATTACCCTCCCACTCTGTTTCCCCTTTTCCCCTTTTCCCACTTACTAACCGCCATAACCACAGCCCTTCAAACAAGAATACCCCCACAACCCATCCTGGGAAATTGCCTCCCGCCTGCCCGCCGTCCTCCCCTCCCTGCGCGCCAAACAGCCTTCCACCGTCAAACCGCCCTTCATTCCTCGCGTCAACCTGTACGTCCACCCGAAACCGATCCACGTAGCCTACAAAACCGTTCGCGAGCTGGTGCCTAAACTGTGGGCTCGCAACTTTGCCGATTCCTCCTCTGCGCCCACCACTGCAGAAACAACTTCCGAAGAAGAGCAGGAGGCCCCTCGAAAATCCAAATATGACTTCGCAATTCACATCGGCATGGCGGGTCCTCAACCACGCTGGGCAATCGAGCGCTTAGCTCACCGCGACGGATACGCCCTGCGGGACGTGGACGGGGAGTTTTTGCGAGATAAGGATAATCAGCTTAGGGACGATTGGGTGTGGAAGGGGTGTCCGACGGAGCTGAGGACGGATTTGGATTTGGATGTGATTCTGAAAAAGTGGAGGGGGTATGCGCCTCCTGAGTTCCAGCAGAGCTCCAGTCACGGTACCGATGGGGCTGGGGATAAGGCTGGGGCTATAAATGGGACAGAAGGTAAAGGGAGGGGTGGAGGAGATGGAGGTAAAGCGAAGGGGCAGGGGCAGAATGGAAGTAAAGATGGTACCGGGGCAGCCAAATGGTATGGCAACGACATCAAAGGCGCCAAGGGGGATAAGCTGGTGATCAGTGAAGATCCGGGGAGGTATCTTTGCGATTTCATCTACTATAGCAGCTTGGCGGAGCTGTACAAGCATAAGGCCGAGAGGAAGGTGGTGTTTTTGCATGTGCCGTGTGAGATGGGCAGGGATGGGGAGTATGTGAGGATTGGACAGGAATTGGTGTTGGGGTTGGTGAGGAGTGTGGCGGAGTGGCTGGTTGATGAGAAGAAGAGGAGGGGTGGTTTGAGGTGATGATGTGGATAAGTTGGATGGCGATTGGGGGTAAGTGGTGAAGTATAATCAGCGGTTTGATATTTTGGGACTGTGAAAGGAGATGATTGTGCGATACACAGCGTTTCATGGATTATAAGTTACGAGATACAAATAGGAACCAGCGATTACACTACATTATGAGACAGTGATGGTCAAAAAATACTGTCACTCCCCACCCATATTTACTACACTGTTGGGGGTGACAGTATTTTTTGACTGTCAGTTTACCTTCCGCTGTTAGTTGATCTCCCTTTAATCATTACACACGGAATGGTTACCGGACCCATGAACATAAAAGGTCAAAGTGTTCTGAGAAACTCATGCACGACGTTGAAACAACTGGATCTTAAATGCTCTCATATAAAATGGTATCTAGCGCTCTTTCTAAACAAGTCTATCCAAAGCTGGTGTAAAAACGTCACCCTCATCCATCTATCCCCAATCCTATAATTTCTCTGCTCTTCTTAAAATTCAGGGGACAGTAGTCAACTTCTTGGGTCTCTGGCTCACCGGCGCACGGAGGTACTGCAGAGGACCCTTGACATCAAGACCAAGATCATCCGCAACAGTGAGCACAAACTCGGGCTCCCTGAGGAACTGCCTAGCAACAAGAACCATATCGGCCCTCGTTCTAGAGCCGTTCGAGCCCTGCACGGGGACCTTGCCGTCCTTCTTCTCCTGAACAGCCTCCTTGGCGATCTCAGCGGTGGTGACCATGCCGACGGCGCCAATCAGTAGCTCCTTGCCGGCCTCCTGCACGGCCGCGCGGATCTGCTCGGCCAGGTCGATCTGGTAGTAAGTGTGGATGTCGATCTTCTGGTCCTTGTTGTTGCCGCCGGAAGAAACGTCGAGCAAATCGATGCCGAGACCGGGGAGGAGCTTGGCGAGCTCGATGGTCTGCGGGAGATCCCAGCTGGGCTGGCCGGTGTACTCCATCCACTCGGTGGCGGAGACGCGGAGGAAGAGGGGCATGGTCTCGGGGATGACGGAGCGGATGGCCTTGGTGATCTCGACGAGAACGCGGGTGCGGTTCTCGAAGGAGCCGCCGTAGTTGTCGGTGCGCTGGTTGGAGATGGGGGAAAGGAACTCGGAGATGAGGTAGCCGTGAGCGCCGTGGATCTCAATCACGTCGAAGCCGGCCTTGACGGCACGGATGGCCGCGGCCTTCCACGCCTCGACGAGCTCCTGGATCTGAGCGACGGTCATCTCCTTGGGGTCAGGGTAGGTCTGGTCGTTGTAGCTAATGGCGCTGGGACCCCAGACGTTCTCGGGCCAGCCGCCCTCCTCGGGCCCGCAAATCTCGGCCTTGCCGCGCTGCAGGTGCCAGGGGGCCTTGGTGCTGGCCTTGCGGCCGGCGTGGGCGAGCTGGATGCCGGCCTTTGGCCCTGCGAGTGGATGTAGTCGACGATGCGCTTGAGGGGCACGATCTGCGAGTCTTGCCAGAGACCGGAGTCCTCGGGCGAGATGCGGCCATTGGGGAGAACGGCGGTGGCCTCGAAGATGGTGAGCGGGACGCCGCGCTGGGCGAAGGCGCCGAGGTGCACGAGGTGCCAGTCGTTCATGTGGCCGTCATCGGCGGAGTAGGTGCACATGGGCGCAACGGCGAAACGGTTCTGGAGCTCAACACCACGGATCTTGAGAGGGGTGAAGAGGGTGGGAACATCGCCCTCGCTGGTCTTGAGAGCGGTGCCGGCGGGAGGAGTCTGGGCCGGGGTGTAGTAGGGAACACCCTGAGCCGCAGGGGAAGCGGTCTTTCTTTGCTGAGGGCCGTTGACGGTCATCTTGGTGATGATTTTGTTGATGTAGTTGGTGATGGTGGGGTATTACAGAGATAACCGCACAGGGATGGATAGACAAGATGGAAAAACAGAAACGACAAAAAGGGCAATGAGGGAAGAAGGGCAGTTTATGACATTTATACTATTCCCCGTTCTGGGAGGCCAAAAGCCATAGGTATATGAAAACGCATCGTTATTGCCGTCAAGGTGCCCTTGTTGGCGACTGGAGATGATGGAGCACCGGAGTGGAGATCTCATTGTGTTGATTACAAACCAGTGAAAACCACACCCATCAGCGACATCATCGGTTTTCCCCTTGCCCAGCATCGGGGGTCCCTTAGGATCTCGCAATGCCCGTTCCATCCCTCCAAAGAAAATACTGTGAGAAGATCTTGTCGAATCCGCATTGATGATGATGGCGCAATTTCCAATTGGCCAATTCCGTTCTTGCGGCTTATCGCATGCTGGGCGGTTGAAGATCCGCCCGCGATGAATCATCAATTGGTTGCTGAGTGAGAAGACGGTTAGACGGTTATGGAAATCTTCAGATGGTTCTTCGAACCCCCAACTGACGGGAACCCGACTGAAACCAGGCACGAACGATGGATGAATAATTCCCCGTGGTACAAGTGATAGAACGGTTCAAGTTGACAATTAGTGTTAAACCGCTGTCGACTGTCGTACCATCGCAACGGCAGTCCGGACTACTCCGGAGACATTTTGGGGTTGGAAACCGGGACTCCAACCTAACCAAAGCCACTACGTCGCCTAAGGTGGGCGGTTCTAGCGGTTGGAGTTTTTTTTTTTTTTTTTTTGCGACGGGACTTTTGTCTCTCAAACAGTTAATGCGGTGATAGCCAATCGCAAAGACTGGAGGAACTGCGTTACCAAATCGGCGCATCAACGGGTGAGATCTGGTCCACTGTGACGGTAACGTGTAAATTTTTGAGGCACCAGGGGCGTATTAGTAATCCGCCACCATCCCGCATGAACGCCGAGAAAACAGCGCGCACGGAAATACCGGGAGTCCGGTGCCTGCCCGGGGGCCCCGGTTTGTGCCGTCACTGCCGGCACCACTCACCACTCACCGTCTCTGCCGCCGCCGTCGCCCAACTCCCCGTCCAATGACGGACCCCGGAGCAAATTCCGTTCTACTGGTGACCGCCTTCAGTTTCCATTCCGGGTCCGTTCAGGTTGGAAAACAGCATGGAACAACACCACTTAATTCCGGTCGGTGACGGTTGTCTGTCCAACGCCAAACCCCTGATAAACATGTTTCCCAAATAGGTAGACGTATAATAACAGAACAGAATGGTAAACAATAGAGGTGGATATCATCATCTATTTTGCACATTTAACAAGGCATAAAAATCGTCTCTAAATCGAAAATCAAACAGCTGGCGCGTCACAAAACCCATACCCGCCAAAGACACAGCACAACGCCTTTCACCAACCGATCAGCCGACCGACCCACCGTCCCTTTACACCCAACGGATATCTTAACGTTTCTCCTTTTGATCCTTTACCTCAAAGGCAGCTCCTTAGTCTCACCAGCGGCGGGCTGAGCCTCACCACCAGCAGCAGCGGCAGCCTCCTTGGCAGCCTGCTCCTTGGCCAGTCTCTCCTTCTCCTTCTTGGCCTTCTTCTTCTCCTTCTCCTTCTCCCTCTGTAGCTTCTTGGCAGCAGCCTTCTCGGCCTCAATGGCCTTCTGCTTGCGGAGCTCCTCACCACCGTAAGCCTCGCGCCACTCCTCCAGCTTGGCAGCGGGGATCTGGGAGAACAGAAGCTCAGGGGTGCCGATGGGCTCACCGGCCTTGAGGATATCGGGGTTCCAGGTGTCGGGGATGACGACAGGAATGTCGGTCTCGCCCTCAGCAGCCTTGAGGCCGATCTGGCGAAGGATAGACTGGGCGGTGCCAGGCATGTAAGGGGTCAACACGCCAGCAATGAGGTGGAGAAGGTTGAGAGCAAAGTTGATGACAGCGTTGCAGCGCTCAGGTTCCTCGGTAAGAAGCTGGTTGCTGAGCTTGTTGTCCTGGAGCAACTTGTTACCGACGCCAGAGATGCTGAGTACGGTAGCAAGACCGGCGCGGAGCTTGGTACCCTTGACCTGCTCGTTATACTCCTTGAGGAGCTTGTTGATCTCCTCCTTGTACTCGTCAAGAGACGCGATGGGAGTCGCGGGGTACGCAGGGACCTTGGCGTCGAGCTTGGCCTGGCAGAACTTGACGACACGCTGGCACAGGTTACCGAGGTTCTTGAGGAGATCGTTGTTGTTGGAGTCAATGAACTCCTCCCACTTGAACTCGGAGTCACCAGACTCGGGACGTCTGGACAGGAGGTAGTATCTCCAGACATCGGGGTCAATGCCGGTATCCCTAGCGTTGTTGCCAAACACACCGACGCCCTTGGACTTGCTGAACTTGCCACCCTCGTAGTTGAGGTACTCGGTCGTGGACAGGTGGTTAACCTGGGTCCACTTCTCCTTTGTACCCAACTGCGTGCCGGGGAAGATGATGGTATGGAATCTGATAGACCGCGTTAGTCAAGACCTTTGTAACTTAGGAGTAACATGCGGGGCACATACGGAACGTTGTCCTTGCCCATGAACTGGTACAAGGTGACGTTATTGGGGTTCTTCCACCACTTCTCCCAGTTCCTGCCCTCGAGGTTACCCTCATCGGTGTAGCACTTGGTAATGGAAGCATAACCGATGCAGGCATCGAACCAAACGTAGAAGACCTTATTGGCATACTCTTCGTCAGAGAGACCCTCGAGGCCCTTGGGGACTGTGAAACAGCGTGTTAGCTATGGCCGTAAAGGACCGCAACAAGGACACAGCGCATAGACGTACTGGGTACACCCCACTTGAGATCTCTCGTGATACCACGGGGGCTTCAGGCCGTTGTTGATCCACGAGCGGGTAATGGCAACGCAGTTGGCGCTCCAGCCGTTCTCAACCCTGTCGAGCCAGGCAGTGATCTCCTTGTTGAGCTCGTCCAATCGGATGTAAAGGTGCTTGGTCTTGCGCCTCTCGGGGGTAGAGCCGTCGAGCTTGCAGCGGGGGTTGATGAGCCAGCCGGTACCCTTGCTCTCGTCTTCGCCGGCAGCATTCTTGTCGGGCTGCATGGGGTCGAGGAGGTTGCCGCAAGCGTCGCACTGGTCACCGCGGGCGCCGAGGTCGTGGCAGATGCTGCATTCACCCTCAACGTAGCGATCGGCCAAGAAGGTATTGTGCTCGGGGACGGCGCAGAAGGCCTGGGTGGTTTCGCGTTCCTCGATGAAGCCATTCTTCCAGAGCTGGGCGAAGATCTCCTGGGTAATGCCGGTGTGCTCGTCGGTGGGGGTGCGGCCGAACTTGTCGAAGCTGATGCGGAACCAGTCGTAGACATCCTTATGAAGGGCGTGGTACTTTGCGCAAAGAGTCGCGGGGTCTACGCCCTCGGAAAGGGCCTTGGTCTCGGTGGCGGTGCCATACTCGTCGGAACCGCAAACGTAGAGGGTGGGCAGGCCACGGGCGCGGCAGAAACGGGCGAAGACATCGGCAGACTGGAGAGAGTTGGGTCAGCGACAAGGTTGTGGATGAAGCCGGACGAGATGGAGGTTGTTATGGGATAAGGCGACAGGGCGCAGAACAGGGAGGGAGGAGCGCAGAGCAGCCAGCGCATGTGGAAGGAAGGGCGCAGGGTTGGCTGCAGACAGAGAGGAAGCGAAAGAAAGGTGTAAACCTACCAGAACGCTACCAATGATGTTGCCCAGATGGGGGACGTTGTTGACGTAGGGCAGGGCACTGGTGATGAGGATGTTCTCCTTGCCCTCCTGGGGCAGGACTGGTCCGTTTTTGCTGGCCATTTTTGCTGTGGTGTGGTTGCGATGTCCTGCTGTCGCTGGGCTGGGGCAGTTGGGACTCGGCGACAAAGATGAACTCGGAGCCGCAAACAGACGAAACTCCAATCGCGACAGGAAGTGGGGTGAGTCAGAAAATGAGGGGCACCGGTGACCCTAACCCTGGGGTGAGTGTCGTCTGAATAAGGTGTCTCAAGCCGTGCCTTTGTCCGATGCCGCCTCTTCCATTTGATCCCTTCTCACTTCAGGTTGCCGTCCCTTGATTCCGTTGTTCATCCCTTGCCGCCGTCACTTCTTTGACTTCAGCAACAAGCCCATTCTATATCCAATTGGTGCTTGCCACCAACAAGCTCAACAAGCTTATTTGAACGTCCGTCGTACAGCGACACGGTTGCTTATTTCAACATCAGAAAATGCGGATACTAAATCCAACGTCGTCTGCACATCTTCAATCCAGGTATCACGCAGTCACCGCGTTGCCGCTCACTTCCCACCCAAAATCCATACACGTGTAGGCCGACAACCGGACAGACAGTGGACTCTGGGCCTAGAACAGGGGCAGCTAGGGGATCGTTTCAGGGGTCGCCTCCCCAGGCCGCGCTCTGACATCTGGGGGTGGATTCAGCCCCAAATGCGGGGGTCTCGGCTGGTGCCGACAGGGTCGGGGCTCCGTTCTTGGCTCTCCTTCAGGCACTTCTTCCCATTTTAGGATCCTGCCCAGCAACTTGAAACGAAACATCCAAAATCAACATGGAACGCGACCATGGAAATGCAACCATACTATGGCCAAATCTTGAACCATGGATTCTTATCAACCGGGCACTGCCTCTTTTTCGTTTCTTTTCCCTCCCCAGTAAATAACTGGATCACCAATGTGGTTTAACCAATGTTTCGAAACATGGAACTCCGGATCGCGGCTCCATGCCCGACTGCCATGGACCAAGATTGTCGTGATCTTTGAGTAGGAGTTTTGTATACATACTCAGCTTTCCGGTAGCCAACGAGTCCTTGGGCGATCTTCATTCATCCAAGCCACCATGTTTTCAAAGATGAAGCAAAGCGCCAGAAACTCAAGGAGATCCTCAAGATCGTAAGTTACCAGCCTAACCATGTGTGCTACGCAAGACACGTCCTCTAATCTCAACAGCCGTCTGGGATCTGAAATGGTTCAAGTCCTCGTTGGCAAAGAGCAGCGCGACTTCCAAATGCACAAGAAGCTCCTCTGCACAACCAGCACATTCTTCCGCGACCATGTTGAAGCCGCCCAGAAAGAAAGCAACCGGACCGACTCCGAATCCGAAGATTCCGTTCTCTGGCTCCCTGAAGAGTCACCCGAAGTGTTCGAACTATTCATCGTCTGGCTTTATGACCGGCGCGCCTTTCAAGCATACGTCGACAGCGGCATAGAAAAGGCCTCGAGAGACCGAGCGTCTCCCACCTCCTCCCCCAGCCGATTATCTCCTGCGCGACAATCCCCGTTTCGAGTCGGAACTACCCGACATGCGGAAACATGCGGTGGTGACCGGCGCACCCTCCGTTGGAATCTTGTTCGTCTGCATCTCTTCGCCGAGATAATAGACCTCCCCGCTCTACAAGACGCCTCGATGGACGCCCTACAGGATATGTACCTCCGCTGCGACTGGGATATGTCACCGGGGTTCATAACCTTCCTGTACGGGGACTGTTCGCTCGACAACGCAGTCAGGTTGCGCAAATGGGCCGTGGCGATGTTGGCGTGGACGCTGCATGGCGGAGATGGTACGTCAAGTCAGTTTGAGAAGCTGTTTGCTGTGTTCCCGAAGCTTAAAGCGGACTATGGCATTCACTTCAACAAGATGGCGGCGAGCAAGGCCGATATAAGAATCAAGAACCCTCAGTTGAGGCTCCCGATGAACAACCTGAGGAGCGAAGAGCGTTTCTTTGGGTTCAGACAATGCTCGTTCCATAGCCATCGGTCGACGGTTGGGGAAGGGGTTTGTCCCCATTTGGTTACAGGGCTGGAAGGGACAGATGAGGGTAGGTCGACCATAATGGGCGACGATATCATTTCTGAAGAAGATGAAGAGGAGCTGGAGGGAGGAGAAGGGAGTTCGGATAGCGAGATCATCACGCCTGTGTGCGACATGGAAACTTCTTTTCTGGACCTCTCATAGAATGAGCAAAGCGTTCTGGTTTTCTGGAGTTCCGGTTAAGGGTGGCTTCTGGAGTAACATACTAATACAACTAATACATCCTGTTCGACCACCGATCTGAGCATCTCTGCCAGAACAACCCACTTCGAGAACGCTCCTCTCGTTGTCTTCGTTCCTTCTTCCTTCTTGATTTTACCCCGCAGCTAACTGAAATCTGTCTCATCAGCATTGAGTGATCGTCATGGTTCCGAAGGCTGAACGATAATTGCCAGGGCGGGATAGTTCAGAAGAGAAACCGAAACCGATGAGATTCAAAACAAAGACACAAGAGAAACGTCAATATGAGCACAGAAGGTTTTCTGGGATTCTCATCTGTGAAACTCGATCAATAGCCTCATTGGTTCGCGCCAGATTCGAAACCAATCGCGCCTAAAACAAACCCTTGTGGTAAACCAGAGGCAAAGATCGATGTTGTCATCCTTAACTGGGACATTGATCGTCGAAAACGGGCGAAAATGTCTCTTTGGTGGTGGTTTCTAACTGGGTCAGTGGTGGTTTGTTGCTGAGTAGAAAGGTTGATACTGTCTCGCTGAGCGCCTAATTGTGTTCCCTGAAGTCGTCATTGACGGAGCTGGGCATAGGAGGTTGGAAAGACGATGGAATCTTTATGCTTTGCAGTAAGGTAAAGAAACGTGTATATAAACATCGTCGTGGTTCGCATTTCAAATGCTAATTGGAATCATCATCAACAAGTTCTCAGGATCCGGATCAGTAAGCAGCACCATCACGAACAACAACACCCATTATCTTTGACATTATCTCAATCATTCCACAATGAAGTTCACCGCCCTCCTCCTCGCCACCGGCATCACCACCATCGCCGCCATGCCTTGGTCATCCAAGGCCAAAAAACCCTCCTCAGTTTTTGAGGACATCACGTTAGTCATCACTCGCTCCCTTGTCACTGCTGCCCAACATCATCACCTGCCAATTCACATCGCTGCCTTATCAGACCAATTCCCCTCAGTTCCCCTCAATTCGATTTCAATTTCAACAAAAGCCTGCATCGTGCATTCCCATCACGGGCATTCCATACAGTGTAATCCCACCGTGTGTATCCAGAGATGACTAACAGCGTCGCATTTTCCGCATTTTTCGCTTCTGTTAGTCTCCGCATCGAAGTCGTGCCCAAGAATCAACAGCATCAGAGCCTCCTCTTTTCTGCTGCTGGTGCTGCTGCACCTAAAAAGTCAGGAAAGCAAGACCTTGCCAGCTTCTTGGAGGACGGCGACGATGAGAAGCCTGATATTTGCTGGCTGTTGTGTGCGGGTCAGGAGTTGAAGTGTCCTGAGGGATGGGTGAGTTTTGGTTCCAATTTTCGTATTATTTGGTTTTGGCTCCTGTCTTGTTGGTTTAACTTCGTCTCTTATCTTGTTTCATTTGCCCCTGTTTGGTGTTCACTTTGTTGTGTCATTTTGGGTGTTTCTTTTCAAGAGTGTCGGGTATTTTTGTGCAAGACTTGGCTAACTGTTTGGTGTGTGTTTCGTGGAAAATGTAGCACTCAAAGCAGCTTGGTGATTGCTGGACTTGCTGCAAGACTATCGGGGAGGACAGCTTCGACTTGTAAGATTGCCTCATGTCGCCGGGGTGAGGCTAGGAGTTGATTGCCTGCGATCTGCTACTTAGTACTCAGATGAGGTTGCTTGTTGGGAGAATGGGGGAGCAGTTAGTGGTGGTGCACTGGGATGATGGGAGAGGACGTGACATTATGTGTTTTTCGTTGTGAAATACGGTGGTAAAGGCCATGTCTGGCCATACACGGAAGTCTGATGGGCAGTTCGTGGTGTTGGGAAATGACGAGGTCTAGGTAGGTAGGTGTTGAAATTTCGATTAGAGGTAGTGGCCATGTAGAACCGGAGAGGTGATCCAAGATGCCTTCGGCTTTGCAGTGGGTTATTTGTACGACCATGGTCCGTGATTTGTCTTGTTTCTTGTGTCGGCCGCCTTTAAATGTTACAAATTGAGGAAAAGAAGAAGAAGGTGAACGAAGAATTGAACATTTTCAGTTGTGATATGAGTTGTAATGGGTGTTTTGTTAACTGGGCGCGGGTGTTCTCACGTGATTGTTGGCTTGTGGTTCTTGCCCGTTTTCCGCGGTCATTACTGCCTTCTAGGATTGAGAAAACATAATGCCAAGTCTTCTACCCTTTGCCAAATTGATTGCTGACTTTATCTAATTTCTATAGGTCTGGGGTCGCGTACCATTTCCGAGTGTCCAGCCTATGTTTCGAGATTGTCGAGAACGGGACTTTTAGTGAGGCATCCAAATGCGGGGCAACGTTCGGTTTGTCTGCACCTCAACACCCAAGCCTTCGCCTCGTTCGTGCTTCCTGCGACTCGACGTTGTGATCGCCAGACGTACGACCGAGTATTCCTCTGGTGATTGGCTGGGATATCAATGAAGCTGGCGGACAGGGGGTGGTGGTGACATCGACCATGAAATTCCGAGAAATCGCAAAGGCGCTAACCGCCACCACCACTTTCTTATTTCGACTACATCCCGTCAATGATATCTGTCCGCACTTCGACAGTACAGCCATCAAGTCTTTTGGTATTCTACTCTCCTTCAGCTGACTGGACTCTCTACAATCTTTGTGTGTCGCTCAGTCAATGATTCGCATTCATCTATCAGCAATTTGAGCAAGCCTGGACAATGGATGCCCCTCAACTCTGCCTACCAGTCTCAGACCAGGACAACCCGGCTTGCAAAAAGAAAGAGGCTGCCACATAGGTACCCAGAGAGCAAATAGCCGCGAAGAACTATACTTGCGTATGGAGGGAGGAACGCGAAACCTGGAGGCACAATTACGACATTCCTCATTCCTGCCGCCATTGCTGCCAATTCAACATGGTTAGAAACCCAAAGCCCATTACCGCTGCCATTGATAGAGCCCTGGATATTCGCCAAAAGAGCGATACTGCTTCCATTCGTGTGTGTATAGTCGAAAAAGCATCAGATATATTGCGGGCCTTGGATGACAGATGCCCCCTGTTTGAGACCTAGTTTGGGCAGTACAGAGGAAGAACTAATTCAGAGCTTCTCGACGTGTTTGATATTGATGGCTCGGGAATAGTGCAGGCAGTGTTTTGGGGCATAGGGAAGACTACGGATGTACATGGATATGTGGATCTCGCACTTCTTAACCGAAAGAATTGGGACCCAGTTCAATGTCCCGACATAGAGTGGCTAAGAGCCATCATTCACCCGAGTAATCTGTCCTTGATAGTCCGCCAACATTTTGAAACCTTTCTACCTGGTCTCTTCAGACCTTCTGCTAACGTTATCAGATCAGCCAAGGAAGACCTTGACTTGCGACCCATGCACTCCGGATTCGTTCCAGATCTGTCTGAATTTGATGTCCCAATGCCGCTTATCTCATCCCTTTTGCCGCATGGCCCCTTCTTTTTTCATCCCCACCAGGCTTCTGGATGTCAATGCATGCGATTTGAAGCTTGTGGAGACATCTGAAATGGATGAGAGTGAACGGCATGAGTGGTGTGCTTTAAGCTACGTTTGGGGTGGCGACGTTCCTTTGAAGACTACGAAAGCAACGCGGTTTGCTCATAAGGGACGCATTCCCCTCGACATTCTTCCTAACACTATGAAAGAGGCGGTTTCTGTTTGCCGAGGCATTGGGGTCAGGTACTTATGGATCGATGCCCTGTGCATTATGCAAGACAATCAAGAGGGTCTCCGCGAAGAAGTCAACCATATGCCTGAGGTTTATCAATACGCGCCACTCACAATTTGTGCAGCGTCATCGACAAGTATTTACGACGGGTTCCTTTACCGACGTGGATATTGGAGCCACACGCTCCCCGCGACAAATATGCGGATTGTGACCGATTCTGGTAAGAGTATCAGCTTGTTTGTCTATCTATGTATGAATTCCGGCGCATTCAAAGACCGTAAAGAACCAATTCTTCAGAGGGCGTAGACATATCAGGAGGATATGCTCTCACCACGGATCTTAAACTATCGAACTCATCATTTGGAGTGGAAGACCCGGTGTACCGGACCCGGGGACCCGGGGACCCGAAGCCTTCGGGCCTTCGGGTCCAACCTAATTGGTCTATTTATTTACCTAACTTATATAACTTTGGTTGGATCGTAACACATGTGAACAAACAATGGCTTGGAAAACACTTTATTCAGACGACACAATCCAGGTTTGTTCCGGCAAGGCCAAGCAAAGCTCCTGAGAAAACAGTACGTGTGATAATGGCAATTGCAATAAGAAAGAGTAAGTAAAAAAGAATCGTATCCTCGTCATCATTCATCATTCATCATCGTCATCATCGTCCTCTTCCTCTTCCTCCGATGATTCGACGTCGCTATCACTGGAGCTTTCCAGTTTGCTTTCCTCGAGTTCGGGCCCGTCGTCCTCCTCAAATTGGTGGTCCGCTGGAAAGAGAGTTTTGACTATGGGATAGCACCTGAAGCAGAAGTCCCATGCGGGGTTAAAGGTCCGGTCACTGTGTATACGGCCTTTGATTTCCTAAAATCATGGATGGCGAGTCAGCAAGGAGTGGCACACTTCATTCACTGAGGTCGAGATGCACACAAAAAGGAGAATATCAAGGTATGAAAGCATCATCGGGGAAATATGAGAACGGGGACAGAAGGTAGTAGAAGGTATGACGGTAAGAGGGGGATTCCACTTTTGGAATATGAATAAAGTCATGACTTACCCAGCCACATGCATCACAGAGCAAATCTTCATCGGAGTTGAGCCTGAGTCTCTGGTTCCTGTCCGGAGTTGTCGTTGCATCAGCAACCTGGCCGCCGCTTCCGTCCTCACTGCTTCTTTGCAGCATGCGCATGACTGGTTCCGGTGCTGAGCAGAGTTTCGCGATTTGGTAAGGGTCGCAGGCTTTGCCTCCGATGGTGACATGGGTAGATGTGCTGGCACCATGATCAATGAGGATTCTCAGGACCTCTAGCTGGTCTTTCCCTTCAACCTCTGGCCGACCGAACCACGATAGACTGAAGAAGAATGAGCCGCCGATGCATGCCGAACATAACGGTGTCCAGCCGCCTTCATCAGGAACATCTACCTGATCAGGCGAAATCGCAAGGATACGCTCAACCGCTTTTGTACAGCCACTCTGAGCTGCCCAGTGCAATGGTGTCCGTCCGAGTTTATCACGCACGTTGATATCCCCGCCCGCGTCAAGCAGTCTCTGAATATTATCTGCACCGCCCCATGCAGCATAGTGGATAGGACGACGACCAAGCAGGTCCTCGGCATCCACTAGTGATCCGTGTTTGAGAAGAAGCTCTGAAAGTTCACCTGAATTGTGCAAGGACGCAACGCTCAAAGGTAGGCCATAGAGACCATCACAGAGGTTGGGATCGGCTCCTTTTGAGAGTAGAAGAAGTACTTTATCCATATCTTTTGAAGCAACAGCCTCTCTGAGCGGGGTACGGCCAGCTGCATCAAGAACATTGAGTTTTGCACCAACATTGACGAGCCGTTTGATGTTGGTCAAGTTGATAAAACCAACGGTGTGCAGAGCTGTTCGTCCTCGTTCATCAGTTGCATTGATGTCGAACCTGCCGAGATATTCGAGTAATGTGGGGAGCGTGTCGTTAACTGCGGACAGATGGATTAGAGAACGACCATCATCTACTTGATGTCGAAGGTCGGCCCCAGCTTCTATCAGCAGTCTCATTTGATCACTTCTATTAGCCGAAGCCGCAAAGCATACAGCAGTCCCTCCCAACTCAGAACGGCCATCCCACTCGCATGCTGCGTCAACCTCTGCGTTGTGTTCCAGTAGAAGAGATACGAACTCGGGATTGGATTGAGAAATGACCGCTATGTGAAGTGGTGTCATTCCCCGGGTCGCAATATTTGGGTTCGCCTTGTGCTCCAATAGTAGCCGAACGACTTCTAGACCCGCGGAGGTGCTATCCTTAGCAGTAAGAACAAAGTATAGCGGAGTGACACCACTGTCACCTTGTTTGTCAGGATCAGCGCCATGCTCCAGTAGCAGCCTGGTAATAGCGGGCTTGTGATAATAAGCGGCAAGGTGCAGTGGTGTCCATCCATTGTCATCAGCGCGGTTAGCATTGAGGCCCTTCTGTAGTAGTAACTCGTAAATGGAGGGTTTGTTGTTGATTGAGGACTGAAGAAAATCTGTAATTAGACAAGCATGGACCAGTGAACTTTCCGGATCAGCGCCGTAATCGAGGAGAACACTGGTGGCTTCGAGGTGTCCAGCTTGAACTGCCTCTAGCAGCGGCGACACTTGGCCGCTCATATTTGGGTCTGCCCCATGTTCCAAGAGTATCTGGACGCATTTTTCATATCCTTCACTCGCGGCGTATGCAAGTGGTGTCCACTCCAACTTGTCGGATGGCGATATGCCCATCATAGGATCTGCTCCTAGCTCGAGTAGTCTCTTAACCGCTCGGGGTCCATTATAAGCAGCGATAAAGAGGGAAGTGCAGCCGTCACAGTCTTTGGCTTCAATGTCAAGTTTCGCCTCGTTGACTAAGAGCGTAATGGCCTCTTCATTGTCCCACATCGCAGCGTAATGGAGCATCGTCATCTCGTCCCATATCTTAACCGTGGTCAGCGATGGATATTTTACCATGACTCGGATGGTTTCATTATGGTCGTTGCGTATTGCGTAGGCTAAAGGCGTCAAGGATAGATGTTCGGAGTCTGGGAACTCGACAGCCGGCGAACAGCCAAGGTCGAGGAGCTCCTGTGCAAAAGTGACAAGATTAAGCCGTGATGCCCTGTGTAACAGAACAGGTGGCCAAACAATCTTGGTTGGATCTTTACTGTTCGCTTTGATGTGCTTGGTCAAGTGTAGCAGGAGTGATTCATTCCCTGAGCTCGCCGCTGCAACAAGAACATCCAGGAACGGTGGATCATCATGGAGAGATTCAAGAAGAGTCTTCACAATCTTCTCCTGGCCTCTCATTGCTGCTTCGATAATTCCCCGGGCAGTGTCCTCGGAATTACGAGGTTCCCACACATCAAGCAAGCCGAGACCAGTGAAGATAGGGAAATAAGTTGTTGGTGGCGGCTCAATTCTTGTTATCGCGTTGGATAGCGCCCAGTTCCCGGATGCTAGTTGTGTTTCGAGATTACGATGCGTTTTGAGAAATCGCTCGATGACGACCGCCTGCTGTGCAATGGAAGACTGGGCAAAATGGTAAGGCCACTCGTGTAGCGCATAGGAGCAGAAGCTTGTGTGATCTTGCGCAATGAGCATTCCGCGTTTTCCCCCTGCCTGAATTATGTTCTCGATGGTCGGCTTGTTCTTTGAGTCCAACAGATATTCAAGACAGGTGTTGGTCATTTCGTGATGAGCCGTCCGCCATAAATCATCCCAAACGTGCTGTGACGTATGAGGTAAAGAATCACCAGGTGAGTTTCTGGCCATCAAGACGCCTCTAAGGCGGTGATCTATACAGACTTCCATGTTGTCCATCTTGATGATACCTGTGAGCAAGGTGCTCACATCACGGAGAAAGGGATGCTCAGGTAGGCCAGAACAAAGCGTAGGGCCTTTATCATCCTCGACCCCAACTCTCAGAGCGTTGTCCAACTCCCAGATAGACAACGGCCGTTTTGCATACAGCATAAGAACCAAAAATCGTCTGAGCAACTCTTGGTTTGCGACGCAGTGAAACAATTGGTCCAGAACAGCAGTAACGGTTTCAATTGCAGCATAAGTTGTGCCTGACTGTTCTGTGCAAGTTTGCGTCTGTGTAAGAGCCAGATGTCTCAGGCTAGGCGCTAGGTTCTTGACGGTTTGAGTGAAAGGTGAAATACTGTCTTCGTCAAGGAGAAGGTCTGGTCGGTAAGTGACAAGACGGTGAATGTCAGCCTGCAAATCTGGAACTCGAGGGGAAAGTTTGGCGTATTGATCAATATCTAGGCTCGTATACGATCCTGCAGGAAGTTGGTTCAGCGCCGTACAAGCCGCGTAGGAAGTAATCGCCACCCTCCACGGACCATTCACGGTTAGTGAAAGACGTGAAAGCCACTCGAAAAAAGCTAGCTGTGATTCTTCCGCACAGTGGTCGAAATGATTCAAGATGAGGACAATGCTTCCATGTTTCGATGTGGTACCGAATCGAAAGAGCCAATGCAATAGGTCGCTTTCAATCCAGCCATGCTCGCAGCACTGCCAGTCAATCAAGCCCCCCAAGGTTTTCCAGGTCGGAAGTTCAAAACCGACGATTTGGGCTAGGATTGTGGACACCATGGCAGAAACAGAGTTACGGCGAGAATCCCACCGCTCAAAGGAGAAGTACAGAACTAGCTCCCTCTTGTGAGACGGTAGGTTCTGGTCCTGAGCGCGTCCCTTTCTAGCAATAAAGAGCAGCTCACCTACTTCGTGTAGGCTCCCAGTGCCGTAGATGTGAAGCATCGGTGGCCCACCCGGTTTAATCCAGGCTTCATACTCGGGTATTTGCGAGACGGGCGGGACGTGATGGGGACTAGTGGTATTGCAAAAAGGGTTGATAGGTGGTGCGGCCGATAGCACAGTGCGCTCTTGGAGAAATCGTTTTGAATCAAGTGTGAGATCCAGATCTAGAATCAGAATGATGGGTTAGCCCTTTGGCTAGCGGGAGAGTTATGATTCTCGTAAAATACCGAGTGCCGTGACGCCAATATCGTCGACACGGTGGGATTCAGGTGCAATGTGTACGCTATGTGAACCAAGATTTGATCAAGTACCAAAAAAGGGTATAAGGAGGGGGCTTAACGGAATGAGAATAAGGACATAACGAACATTGTTGAATTTGAGTCTTGAGATGCTCAACGAGTTTTGGAAACTTGGCTTCTGTCGATTCCTCCAAACACATTTCCAAGGGAAAGCCGGACGATGCAGTCTGCATGTCGAAGGCCTACACAATTGTCAGTCATGGGGTCGTGTTGGAAGAAGTCAATTTGATGAGCGATTCACTTGCCTCATGGATGCCAAGTTTCGTCTCATTCGCAAAGACATTGACCAGTCGAACACGGAAGACGATCTTTGATGTAATAAATTGCGCGTTGACTGTAGCAATAGCCTCAGCCAGCTTCAAGATCATTAAGGGGGGCAAAGTGTCCCTGATTTCTGAAGGAGCGTCTGCTGAATAAAGGAAGCGAGCAAGTCGATTTTGCATTTCGAGATCACCAGCACATCGATGGGGATATCCCATGAAAACCTAGCTCTCAGAAACACCGAGGTTAGTTCAGAATTTTTGAGAAAGCGTAAGTCTGCGTACCAGAATACGGGTCATGTCCAGAATATCTGACCAGGAGGTTAGATCATGAGTAGCTGTAACCATTGCCTTGACACCATCAGCCTTGTGCCTCAGGGATTATGGGAATCAAGGGTTTGAAGCGCACTGAGGCAACTTACATCTTTGACCAGGATGCCACCGATATCATAAGCGACGAACAAAATCTTGCGTGACTGGCGACGAGTATCAGCATACTGAAAGCATAAATCTGGACATAGGCAGACATGTCCTTACCTGCGAACCGATGCTGCTCCTCAACCTGGAAAGGCTACGCAAAATGTGCATAGCATGGTCGCGAACAACTTCTCTGCTCCACCGGGCTGAAAATAGGCGATCGGACTTGTACCGGTAGTAGATAAGTCTGGAATCAGATGGCAGCCAGTCCATAAGCTCTTGAATCCACGGAGCAACATTTGGATTGGTATTCTCGTCCTTGACCACGGACAAACGGTCATATACACCCGGTACAACAATCACGCTGTCGAATATCGGAGTTAGAACCCCATCTGTGAGTGTCAAACAGCAGGATGGTTGATGTAGGCAACTCACTCGAATGACTTGGAGGTTGGCTCGGGTCCACCATCAACGGAAGATGTCGGCGCCGAAACAACGTACAAAGAACCCATGTCCTTCGACGTCGGCACTTCATCTTCTGTCCGACTCTCGCCGGAGTGATGCTGTTTCTCCGTGCCAGTGTCTAGATATTGAGCATGTTGTGCATCATCCTCAATCAATTGGTCACCAAGCGGTAACGCATCGGATGGCCCTGCTGATGGCGAGGCGGCGGGCGAATAAAGGGAAAGGGAAGAGCGTGACGACAGCAAGTCAGACATTCTGATACTTTGGCTAACACCCAGGAAGTGTCCTCAACAAGACCTCATGATGGCAGTTACTGATCGAGAGCTTACAACAAATGAAGCAGAAAATGCGACCTGAAAACTTGACAACATGCAAAGGGGAGTACGTACGTAGGTTCAAGACAACCCCCAGGGTTGTAGATGACAGTGAAAAGTGAGGAATGGGATAGATGAAATGGATCAATGGTGGCGCCTTGACCGTCCTGTGCTGACAACCAGATACTGTCTGATCTGGCGAAAGGAAGCCGAGTCCGCCAAGACTCAATTCCCTATCTTCTCCTCCATGCCGGCAAGTGATGCGATATGTTGGGGTGGCTTTCCCATTCTCATTGGCCTACCATTATGGGCTTCCTTTCTGACGACACAACCGCCAATAGGCAATGCGACCCTTCCTTTCTGCCACTCACAGTACGATTACGCCCCTTTCAGAACTGCTGTAGCGAAGGGACTAGAGAACCCATCGGCCGATCTGTTGAAACCATTTAAACCGACACACTGGTGTCAGGATGCCTCTCCATGCTTTTTTTTTTGCTTTTTTCTTTCTTTCTTTCCTTCCTTCCTTAGTTCTTTGGGTTCCGATTCAGCGACAAGATGGAACAAGAACACAGAAACAGCAATACCAGCAGCGACAACGACCACGAAAGAGAGGTGGCCATGGGCCAGGAGGATCAAGACAGCCAAGACGAATATGGTAACGAGGTCAATATGTACGACGTGACCATCGACTTGGGGAAGACTGGTGAGCCAGGCAGCGGTTACCACACGAGAAACAACCCAGTAGCACCATTCCAGCGATAAGGCGTGGTGGAGCGTCGTGGTATCATGGAAGTCCGTTGCCGATCCCGTGAGGTCGTCCATGGACGGCTAGAGCCCGGTATTGGCAAATATGCCACCCTGCTGGTCTACGATGTCAGCTTCAAGACTATCAAGAAGTCACGACGTGTTACCTGGGTCAAGGTTGAGTTCACTTTTGCCAGCAGCGAAGGCAACAGTCGGATGCCGGAAGTATGGTCGATAGCGCCCGCCGGCACAGTCCCTTTACTCCAGTCCAGCCAGGAAGAAACGGTCCGCACACTGAGCAAGCTGACGGCGGGAGCACCGGAGCTGCTTGCCAACGTCAACGCGTCCATCGAGCGGGAAAAAACAGTCACCAAGATGACCAGCGACTCTGCTCGGGTGATTGGCATCACCACGTGTGACGAATTTGGCCAGCAGGTGGGGGCGAGTTGGATCATGGAGGAAAACAAGGCTCTCAAGTCGGGGGTGCCGAGCCTTATCCGGTGTGTCATGTTGGTCAGGCGCAGAGACAATAGGCGGTTCGAGTGCAATGTGTCCATCGACACAAAGGCAGACTGGAAGACGGAACTTGGCCGGTTGGTGGGCTCGACAAGAGAAACCGACGACCCGGTCTACTTTGACCCGCAACTGCCCCCGTTCAGCAGGCTGCGAAAAGTCGATGAGTACGACCTGGCCAACCTCTTGTCTGTCGACCTGGACGCACTTGCCGAGATTCGGTTCTAGGGCATTGCAGCTCAGGATGCGATGGCGATTGGATGGTAGTTACGGGAGGAATAGGGTTATGATGGCGGGGACGGGACAAGCCCAAATGGTCAGTCACTGCAGTCGAAATGTCCGCGTCGACCTGGAAGCCGCTGCCAGTTTTCATGATACCTCCATACCTCCACCCTCTCAACCAGCAAAGTGAAAGGAGTGTGTGTGCCTGGGCGGGTATGCAACACACCAGTGGCTGTTTCGCAGGGCGGGGTTGGAAGGAGTCGGGAGCCTGCCACACTGGGAAACGAGTAGACGAAGAAAGAGAAGGCCAGAGACAACTCTGAAGAAGGAGGGCGTCTGCGCTGTCCTTATTGGATGCCTTGTTGTTTGCTTGCACACAGTAACCTTGCACCGTGTCAGCTTCGCAATGTACATACATAGACTTAGTAAGTGCATACGGCAGATTTCTGCAGAAGGTTTATTACTTATCACACATCGTTACATCCAACATCCCCCACTGAAGCACGTACCAAAAATATCCTCGTCGCTAGGTTGATTCAACCTCCCCGCCTAACTGAGAGATGAGCGGCAAGCAAGCACGTCGGAAATCCGTGGCTCTGTGGCAAAGGCTCAGACTCAGCCTTGCCCTGATGAGTCGGCGACCGACCGATACTGACACGGTGAATCCGTGATCTCATCCTCCCCAGATCTTCTTTCCGACTTTGTCTCTATCCTACTTCTTCTATAATCATCAGATTTCATACATTTACTCTCTGCTTCGTAACCGTGTTCTTCACTCCAGAACCTAAGGATGCAGCTCAGCAAAGACACAACGGAACTCAATTTTGAAGCAACTACCCCACGTCCGGCCAACACAGAGGCGCAAAAGCGGATGCCCGACACGAATGGCAACAACTGGGAGGAAGATGACACTGATTCTGACGACGAGGAGAACGAGGAGCAGCTCAAAGACACCCTCAAACACGCACTATCTGACATCATCGCTCGCAAGGTCTCCTTCACGCCTGATGACTCCCAGTCGCTGGCTAATTTCACCCAGAAATATGGAGAGATCCTCCTAACTCCTCCTGAAGTGGGACCAAACGTCTTGCATCTACTGGTGACGGATACAGATCTGCTCAAGCCAGAGCCCGATCTACTCGCCCAATTCGTCGGCTACCTCGTCAAGCATAATAACAAGCTTTTGGAAACACGAGACGGGAATGGATGCACGCCACTCATCCGCGCTATCTCCGCCAAAAAGAAGAAGGACCGTAAGGACGAGCGCATGGCAGAGTGGATGATTAACGCTCATCCCAAGATCGGACCCATCCTTGGCATGAGCGACAGGCAAAACCAAAACTGTATTCATGCCGCCATCCTGAAACGGCGCAGACAGTATCTTCCTCGGCTAATCAAGGAGGCCAATCCCACAACCGTCGCTGCGAAGGACTCGTTGGGCAACACGCCGTTACACTATGCAGTACAGTACGATAACTGTCGTGGTCAAAAATGGCTCGGTATCATCGAAGAACTTGCGAAGAAAAGTGAAAAGGCTGTGGCGAAGGACATCGAAGATGTTACAGCAGACCTAAATGAGGACGGATTGTCGCCATACCTCTATCACATCAAGACTCGGAGACAGAAAACTACGCCAGGAGACAAGGACCGCAACAAGGGGAAGGGGGGTGAGGGGTTTCCCAATAACCAAGAATCCCCTCAAGGGAAGGCTAATTTTCCGAGATTTAATCCGGAATCGTTGCCTCTCACCCCCGACACAGTACCGCGACCTAGTCGTCCTCCCAAGACAGACATGCAATCAAGATCACGGCTACAGGAAGCCCCACGGCCTAGCAATAGCATAGGGCTAGCAGTGTTGGGCGGTCTTCCACCTATTCCACCAGATGGGCCACAAGAGAATGGGTCGGTTCTCACGACGACTAGTGTAGCTGATCAAAAATATGGAGGCTACAGGAGGTCGACCAAAGAGCAGGAGATTTCCCGTACTGATGAGGACATCTCCAACAGGGTCGAGCAGTTCCTCAAGCTACACTATCTACGGAACCGTAGCGAACAGCAGTGCTCAACCATTTTGTACAGTCGCCAGCTGACCCCAGGTATGTTTCGGCATTAAGACCTCCATGCGTTGATTCCAGGAGTGTTGTGGTCACTTAATGAAACTGTCACAGCCCAGTGTCAACTACATGTAGGAAAAAGGCTGAGACTGCTTTACTAACTAGTGCTCCAGGTTTCGAAGATCAACTATTGAACTTTGATCTATTCGGAAGGACCAATATGACCGAGGATGACTTTGGAAAGCTCATAGACACCCTCGAGTTTCATGAGTTCCTTCAGTATATTGCAATCCCAAAGATGCGCATCTCCGACTCTCAACACACCACCGACGAGAGAATAGACCGGGATGACCAGGGCGGGCGCACGGATTTGTCTTTGGTCTTCGATGAGCTGCAATCCAGCAAAGGTGTCAAACGGGTGCTTAAGATAGTTGTGGATGACTCATTATCCCCACCTCACAGCGACGAGACAATTGAGAAGTCTCTCAGACCCCTGGGAGTGGAGATTTGGGATTGGAAGAGGTTTGATATCTGTTCCGAGGTCATCTACAATGCAGCACCTAAAGTTCGGGAGGTCTATCTTTATTCGACCGGCAACAATGCTGTACTCAGGAGCTGGAGTGACCAAGGCGGCCTCAGAAAGCTTGACAACTTGGAGAAGGTGCATGTAGAGGTTAAACAGGTACGTCTTCGAATCTCATCATCCTAACACGCAGTACATTTACCATTTTTCAAATAATCCGGTGTGATTTCTAACGTCCAACGTGACAAGGGTATCGAGACAACCAACCGTACCAAGCAATACGTGGAAGAATTCAAGAGACGAATGAGAAGTGTTTTACCTGATGTGATTCTCACCGTACAGGAACAGAAGCCCCAGCTAAAGAAGCTGGCAAATCACGGCGCAATGAGCTCGGGTGCTGGGCCGACACCACCAATGGACAAAAACGACTGGATTGAGTGCATGACGAGCTTTCGGAAGTTGCTGTACACTGCGGAGAGTAACCATCGCAGCAACCATGGCAATAAGAAGAGGATCTGGGAGAGTATCGAGACCCAAATCAAGATTGCTCTTATTGATGACGGCGTGGACATTGCGCGACTGAGTCCAGGTACCGCCACGTTGGAGGGTGGGCGGACTTTCTGCTCAAGGGATGAGACCAACCACATGTACCATCCATATTACGCATCTGGCACCGGACACGGAACTCTCATGGCACAAAGCATCCATGAGATCTGTCCATCGGCTCGATTGTTTGTTCTGAGGCTAGAAGACCACCTTTCACTCGACGGTCATGCTCGACAAATGACTACCAAAAGCGCCGCTCAGGTATGCCTTTCAAAATCTTCGTCGTGCTGCCGGGTTTTGAGTCCAAACCTATACCGAACAAATGCTAACCTGTAAGCATGACAGGCAATCTACGCAGCCATTGAGAGAGGCGTCCACATCATCTCAATGTCCTGGACTATCGACGTCAAGGACAGTGACCCCAACGGCAGCGCCCTAGATAGAGCGGTAAAGGCGGCTGCCGAGAAAGGCATCCTCATGTTCTGTTCAGCCAGTGATAAAGGGGCGAATGCTCAGTACACCTACCCAGCCAAGGCCACAACCAGCATCTTCAAAATAGGTGCTGCTAAAGACTCGGGCGCTGTGGACGAATGGGTAGGGGATCAGAACCTCATTAACTTCACCTTTCCTGGGAAGAAGGTGGATTTGGAAGGCAAACAGGTATCCGGATCGTCTGTCGCTACAGCTTATGCTGCTGGCTTGGCTGCTCTCATCTTGTATTGCGTCCAGGTGCGACTATATCTGACAGACGATGATGGAGAGAAGAAGAAGAAGGTCAGAGAGCAGTTTGAGGCCTTGAGGAAGCACGACAAAATGTTTGAGACACTCAAGCACACGATCGGCACTACTGAAGGGAGTGGTTACAAGTTCGTTCAAGTGCGGGCCATATTTGGAGATTCTCGAAACAAGCAGGACAAGAACCCTGACAGATTGCTGGAAGTGATTGCAAGAACTGGAGAGAAACTTTGCGCGCGGGTGTGATGGAGATATATTGGTCGTCATCTTTTATGTTTTTCTTGCCATCCTCCATACCATGATGAACTATCAGGCAAGAACACTCTCCGAGACTTGATTACAGTACAGCTCAGGGAAAGCTACTACACTCACGATTCATGACCGAACGTATGCGAACAGTTCCCTTTATCGCAAACACTCACATGCCATTAAGCTACAGATGCTCTAACGCCCAAGGCCTAGAAGTACTTCAATGATTTGAGATACAGGCTGGCCATCTGCTCTCGGCAATGACAGACCACGAACTTATGCCATTTCCTATCCACTACACTAGTTTCACCCAAGCTCTTCCACAACATGACGCCAATAGCCACCAACTCACATCCAACTCACAATCTTCATATCTTCTTTGCAAACAAAGGATAATAGAATAACAACCCACCCTTCACTCATGCTGGCCTTTGCCTTTAATCTCTCCCTTTCTATTGGAATTTACTGGCAGCGCTTTATCGCTGGGATTCAAACCTCGCACTTCTTTTCGTGGACTTGCACGAGAAAGGCATGGCGCTAGACACTCTGGCAACAGCACATCAACGACGGAGGCATGGCTGACAACCTTACGGGGTTTTTACAGAATGAAGGGGTGGAGGTTGGCCATGGCCACGACATTGAGAGGGTTACGGTGGACTTGGACAGGCTAGTTCACCGTGAAAGGAGACGGTAGGAGGCCTTGCGGGAGGAGGAGAGCGAGAGCGAGAGCGGAGAGGAGTGATTTTGTCATTTCTTTTATCTTTTCCTTTGTTCTACAGGTCCCGTCATATGCTGGCGGCTCGCTCACTGGGCAATTCGATTATAAGTGTTGGGCCGCGTTTACGCTATGGGCAACACATGATTTACACTGGCAATAGGCCTCGGTTTGCCCTCGGAGTAAAGGGTTTGGTGGACAGTTAGGGCACTGCTCTTATTTTTTATGCTAGATTCACCGATGTGGCACATCTCATGCCTTACGGGAGGCGGAAGTAGACGTTAAAAAATACAACAACAACAACAACAACAACAACAACAACAACAACAACAACAACAACAAAGCTGGCCTTTACCTCGTCCAACCGTAACGTCTACTTTGAGCCAACCACCGCTCTGAACATCTCCCGACCCTTTAGCCTCCAAATCTACAACCTACCTAGATACTCGGCATGAAAATGACATTATCCGGTGAGTAAACGGCAAAAAAAGTACCTGAAGCTCACTGAGTACAAAGACATGCTGTGAAAGAGAAGGAAGCGGGTTTGGAACACACCTACCGATTCTTACGCAAGTTGGATAATTGATGACGATGACAGAAAGGTAACGCTGTGTTGTTCAACAATTTCCTCAACGCTCTCAGCACTATAGCGGAAAAGCACAGGATGTCTTTCGTAGGTAGGCCGTACGTTGCTGCTGTCTGATGAATAGCACCCAAAGTGCCTCCCAAGGGCGGGTTGAATAGAAGGGTCAGGTATTCCTTCCTTGCATGACACGTTTCTTCAATGCGCCTTCCTCTAAAATAAAGAACGATCCATAATCAAGCAGGAAAAAGAATTCCAAAGAGAAAAAGAAAAAAATGAAATTGCCAACGGGATACATCATGTCAGCCAAGAAGTCCTCCTTTCATGTCATTCTTTTCTACATGAAATCTATTCTCAATGCGCCTTCCGCTGTAGTGGATGACACTGTAGTAGATGAGAAAGCCAATCCGGACAAGGGAAGGAAAAAAAGAAGAAGAAAAATACCAGGAAGGGCCAGTAGGTTACGCAATGCAAACCAAGCGCTTCTTCCTCCATATGAGGCACATCCTCAACGTGCCTTCCTCGTCCAGTCAGCGAAAAACAATGGAGGTGGCAACCAAAAAAAAACTAGGTAAAAACATACAACACCAGGTTATTCGCCGGTCGTCACCGATCCGACTACTAGTCTGGCGGTCACCGACTTATCTAGGGGAGAGCGGACGGGATCCCGAGTTTTTGCCCAGGTGCCTATGGTCGTATGTATGTTGCTGCTGATTGTTGCTGTTGTCTGTGGGAGGAGGGGGTGGTGAGGTTGGTTATATACCCAGTGTTTTCATATCCTGAAAAGAAGCATAGATAAGGGGAACAAATCATCACCAATCAACAATAGGAAAACACAACACAATATCGAAAAGGCTTCTTATCAGTCATTCATCGCCTGGGTCAAAATGATTGAGCGCTTACCACGCGCCCGTCCACTTCATTCAACGGTTCTGACCTCGGATGTACGATGACAAAGATGGCTGCAGGTGAACATGCTGATGCATCGAATGGGTCATGATAGCCCCTCGCCAGGCTTTAACTGCATGATTGGATAAAATGGAGAAAAACAAATGCAACTTGAATCCCGAAGAGTGAACGTACAAAATAGAGAAGACCCAGATGATGTGACTATTGTCGGCTTGCATGTTTACCTGCATCCCCTTCCAGCTGTTGCCGAGCCACTGCTGTTCTCGAGGCGTCCTGAACACTCGACGCCAGAACACCAACCTTGGCTCTCTATCGCAAATTCCATTTCGGAAATGGGTATTTCGATCTTCGACTTCATCACGAACATCATCCGTTTGCTTCGAGCCCTTAGCGTCAAACATCATTCTTGGATCTGTAAGTGCCCGCAGGCCTTCGGATAGTCGCAAACAGCCAGACAACCAAATTGACCAACAAGGAAACGAGAACAGACCAACAAGGAAACGAGAACAGACCAACAAGATATCAAATAGCGTCCCTCTCCTCGCGTTTGCGCCAACTATGACCTCTCTTCCAGCTTCCAAAAGCGGCAGTGGCAGTGGCAGCGGCAGCGGTAGCCGTAACGTTAGTGGTTCCCACGGCGGCAAACATCTCTTAGTCAACAACACATCCAAAAACAACAACAATGACCATGGCCTGCAACCACTGCGTGGCCTGGGACAATCCGACCCGCCCATCTCACCAGCTGTGACCACTGGCACAGCCTCTTCCGGAAACTTTACCGACATGCACATGCGGCAGCTGATCAGACCGAAGAAGTTCCGAACGCTCTCGAACGCCTCGAGCATCCTCAGCGACATCTTCAACCACCCGGACGCCAATGAGGACGAGCTAAAAAACAAGATCAAGGAGGCAAACGACCGGGATCGTGAAGCCCTTTACAACATGAATGAGTCTCTTCGGAGCACTCCGCCGCCCCTTCCTCCTGTACCAACGCAAAGCGGCCAAGACGACGCCAACGAAGAGAAGAAACATTGCAGTGGTGGGCTTTGGGGGTTGTTCAAGAGGAAGTCCTTCAAAGCAGCAAAGAAACGGGTCAAGTCGGCTCCGCCCAAGATAGTGGTTCCGGACCCTCCAGCCGCAGGCAGAACTACTACAACCACTCATACTACGGATGACGGTCATCGGCAAACTGTTATTTCCATTCCTGTCCATCGCACGGTCAACCTCGGCCCAGTCCCCAGGTCGCCTGGTTTTGGCCTGTCACCCAAATCTCCCATTACCGGAACTCCCATCAGACCGCCGAGGCCCAGCATCGGTCTAGAGACTCTGTTGGAACACCAGGAGACAAACGAGCGACATAGCCAGGTCCCGACCAGCGCACCCGTGATACCTCCCATTAACGACGGGCTGGATATCTCGCCTCTCCTTCCTACGGGGGACTTCAACTGCCTGCAGCGCGTTTCCGGATTCACGGTCCCGCCGGCCGAATCACCGCCGGAGCTTCCTCAGGCCCAAAACGCCTTCTTTGTTGCCGATGATAGGCTTGATAGTTCAAGTCCGTCCAAGATAACATCCTGTCAAGATCATACCCTTCCAGAGTTTGTCTCGCCGGCCAGTCCTCTTCACCTGAGCGTCTGCCTGTCCACAGCCCAGTCAAGTCGTGATCGCCGGTCGAACATGAGCTTCGGATATAAACTCCCAGACATAGACCATACTGTGCAGCCTCAGGAGCACGAAGGAGAAGTTGACGGTGGTGAGACTTTGGCAGAGGTCTCCGAGCCATCGTCGTCAAACAGCTCTCATCGCAAGCTAATGACCGCTTCGGGGAGAGACCGGTCCGGATCAGCAGATGTAAGCTCACTGTCATCGGTGGCTAGTTCTTCTAACCAACAACGCCCGGCGTTAGCAGACAGCACACAGTTGAGACGGCAACGAAGTCTCTACTCTAATTCCAGCTTTAACAAAAGCAAAAGAAGGGAGCTTGAGCGAAGTGATTCTCTCGGTGGTGAGAGTGTCAAGACGAATGGGAACCAGTCGACAGCTTTCCATACTCCGCCGGATTTGCCCTCGGGGTATGCGACGGAGCCTGATGCAAAGGCGTTGAGCTCGGCACTTGAGAAGGTCCAGGCAGTGCAACTGCCGCCGCTACGCTTCACGTCGGTGATGACTGTAGCTGATCTTAAGCCTTTGTCGTGTAAGAGCAGCAGCAATCCGAGGCCTTCACAGCCAGAGGAGACCAAGAGACAGAATGACAAGCCAGAACAGGCATCAGATGTTGCCCTGAGAAATAGGAGCAGTGGTAGCTCATCCGAGCTTCTGTCTGGAGTTTCGGCATCAACCGATTCCTTCCAAACATCCACTTCCATTGCCAACTCGTCCACTCCACAAGCGACTCCCCTCTCCGCTCCTTCCAATATTATTCCCAAACCCCTCCAACTAAGAAGAACCAACGGAATCATCTGTCCGCCTTTACGGATTGCCTCGTCATCTTCCTCCCCCGACAACAGCAATCGCTTCAGCAGAAACGGCATCCACCGCTCCGGCTCCCACACCGATCTCCTGCAACAATGCGAAGAATTCCGCCACTCCAAAGAAAAGGAACTCGACAGCCTTCGCGACCGACTTCGTCAGCTCGAGAACAGAAACAGTTGGTTGCTGACCGCCGTGACGAAGCAGCTTCCTAACGGATATTATCCACCGCAAGCGTATCGAGACGATGCCGATGATGAGGACTTCAATGCTTCGGATGAGGAGAGGGGCCGCCGACCACACTCGCGCAGCACCGTCTCCAGTAGCCCAATCCTCTCCGGTTTCCGAATGCCAATTGTTTCCCCGCTTGACCAGAACTTTAACGGGAACAGGAACGGAAACAACGATGACGACGGCGACAACGACAACGGCGTACTTACCCCGCGAGGAATGCGTTTCCATCTTACAAGTACAGACCTCGACATGAACAACACACCCAACTACAACAAAAAGCACCAACACGACACCACCAAGGGCGGCGGCAGCAGCAGCAGAGCCTCCGCCAGCGATCGCTGGTCAATGACATCTCAGCACACCTTCGGCAGCACCACTGTCGACGACAGCGTAATTGGCACTCGCAGCGGCACCGGCACCGGGTTCAGCAGTAGTAACTTGACCACGGGATCTCGACTTACACCGCCCGCGCAGCACAACCAGCATCCTCGGTACAACCCGAGTCCTATTGCTAGTCGTTATTCCATCGGTGGAAGCGGCAGTGGCAGTGGTAACAGCAGCAGTGCCTCTCTGTCCGCTGTTCGAAGACCGACACCGACACCGATTCCGGTCTCGAGGCCGATACCGCAAGCGAAGCCGACGCTGGTTACCCGACCGTTTAAAACTGGCAGTACGCCTGCTATTCCGGTGTTGTCGAGTGGTCGTGGTCAGTCATTCGCTTCGACGGCGACGGAAACAAGTTACGATGGTGCACATACCGCTCGCGACGCATCGACAAGCAGACATCTTGCCATTGGAACACGTCCAGTCCTCCCTGCCGCTCGCCGCGAACAAAGTCTCCCCCGCGATCCTCGACTTGCTTCGTTTTCTTCCCGATCTCGGTCGAGAGATGGCTACAAGCTGCATATGCGCCACAGAAACCGAAGTCATGATGATCATATCAACGGGTTTGCCGAGTCTGGTCCGAACAACGGCGCTGATGACAGCAAGGATAAGACGAATGGTGTCAACAACAGCAGCGGCAGTGGAAGCAGAAACACAAGCACCACCCGATCCCCTGCCCCTCTCCCTCCCTCCCTTACCTATAAGGGTCTTTCCAACACCGCAGCACAAAGAAGGGAGGAGAGAGAATACAGAAAGAAGCAAGAGGAGATTATGCGGGAACTAGCTGGTGGATCTCACGGTCAGCAACCGAACGTTCTACGCTCCTCCTCTTCGTCGGCTTCTCTAGGGGCGTTGAAGCAACAAGGAGAGCCATCCGCTGCTTCCGCTTGTAATTTAGCTAGGTCAACAGCTTTGTATAACGGGTATGCATCTGGTTCTGGCTCTGGGTTTGAGAGTGATACGGGGTGTGGATACGGAAACAATGGATATGGACACCAAGACGGACGCGATCCTTTGACCAGACTGCGAGATCTGAGGGAAACTGTGGGTAGGGCTATTAGCGGGATTGGAATTGGGCTGGCGGTTACCACCAGTGATGATGAAGGGTGTGTCTACGATGGGTACAGTTCAGGGGAAGATTACCAACAGTACCATCAGGAGGATGGTCATGCTGGTTACGGGTATGGAAACGATAGCTATGATGGTTACGGCGTGTATGATGGCGATGGTTATGGATCGTCAGCTTCTGCTGGTCATGAACCTGGACAGGAAGGAGAAGGAAGAGAGCAAGAAGAAGGGGGATACATTCTTTCCAGCTCCTCCCACCTCCCCAGGTACCAGAACCGGAATCAACAACACCAACGCAACGACTCCCCGCTACCTTTCTCCATGCCTTCATGGCCATCATTGCCCTCGCTTCCCTCATTGCCCTCATTGGCTGGGCCAAGTCACTCCAGCTTGGAGACGGAAGAATGGTTCCCTTCTCTTTACCGAACCCATACGCAACAGACACAGCCATCGACGGAGAACAAGAGTCACGATACTCCCAGCAACGATCAAGCAACGGCTAACAGCAACGACAAACTAAGTAACTCAACAAACAGACGAACTATCAGGAGGAAAACTACAATCGCTGCAATGAACGGTAACAGACCCAGCACGAGCACCAATACGAACGGAGACGGAAAGGGAAACGAATGGGAAACACTCGAGCCATTGATGCGCGAACTAATCGGCAACAAACTCGACTCGAACGGAGCCAGTGCAAGTGGTGTAAACGGAACAAGTGATATTGATGACCAGCAAACAATCAACTACAACGGGAAACCCACGCCACTATTGGTGGATAAAGTATTTGGATTTGCTCCGATGCACGAGAAGGATCTGGAGGAGGAGGCGCTGGACGATTCGGTTAATCTTTTGCAGTGATCCTGTGCGTATGTGGAGGAATGACTGGGTTATAGAAATGTATTGGCGAAGGGGATGGAAGCGGTTTGGATAGAAATGTTGGTGGATTGTTACTTATGATATTGGTTGGTGATAGGCATGTTGATAAGGACGATAGATACATACCCGATATTTTATAGATTTGAATGATTGTTTACCATAGTCCAAGATCAAGATCTAAGGAAGAGTGTAAGAGAGGGGATAAAGCAAAGGACCTCGTCTCCATCGAGTCCATCCGCCAGATCTACCCTCAGATCTCTATTTTGTCTTGGCATCCCTGAATCGCGACATGATCCCTCCAATGAATTCCCAATTCCCTGGAACCCTGGCGACGGCATGAGCCGCATCCGTGTTTGTGACGTCGATCAGTCACTTACACGCGACGACGCACTAACAACAACGTCAACAGAAGACCATATGTCTTTGGTATTGGGTGTGATTGGAGTGTGGAATAAAGATGGGCGAGGACTCCGTTGATGATGACATTGCTTCGTAGTCATCGGTTCCATTCTGAAGACCATTGGGTCCCTTTTCCGACATGAAAAGACCGATCAAGTCAACTCGACACTTCCCCAGAAGAGCTTCACTGTTTACTTTCCTCTCATACACACTCTCAAGACAAGGACTGAACTATCGGGTCATCCAAAGACACAATTCCCACGATAGCAACTCATCCATACCTCCAACAATCTCAGTAACCTAATTATTACCATCGCCAGTATTTCCTCCCTCCCGAGATATCCAAAATGTCCAAACCCTGGATCCTCCTTTGCCCCTCCTCCCGCGGCATAGGTCACGCCCTAACCCGTCACCTCCTTCGAATCACCAACCTCCCCATCCCTGGCGACCACCCGCGCCCGCGACCCGGAGGAGACCAAAGCCGCTTTACTTAAGGACTTGTTTCCTTATCCGCAACAATCCGCTCCCCTTACCGATTCTTCTTCGGGTTTGAGTTCAGCTTCCGACCGGGACCGGGCCTCAGCAGCGGCCTTAGCAGCCTCAGCAACAGGACCGGGAGTAGCAGCCTCCAGCAAATTCAGCGATTCCTCGTCTAGCGATACTTATCCTTATCCGTCTCCGGCGGAGTTTTCTGCTGCTGAGGATTCTGAGACGAGCACGACTGAGACACCCGGATCTTCTGCTTCTTCTGATTCCTCGGGAACAAGCAGATCGGGATCAGGGTCACCGCATGATGACCCCCTCAATTCCTCCTCCTCTTCCTCCTCATCATCCCAAAACCATGAATTCCAGTCCCAAAACCACCAATCCCAATCCCAACAGTCCTCCCAATCCTCCCAACCCTCCCCAAATTCAATCTCAGAAGCATTCTCCTCCCGTCTGCACCTCCTCCCCCTAGACGTCTGCCACGAAGACTCCATCTTTTCCGCCGCCCAGTTTGCCTCCTCTTTATTTCCAACAGACACTCATCACCTACACCTCGCCTTTGCGCTTCCGGGGATCCTCCACCCCGAAAAGTCTCCGCAGCAAGTCGACTACGACCTAGCGCTGGACACTTACCGTGTCAATTGCCTCGGTCCCTTGATGCTCATGAAACATTTCGGCAACTTCTTGCCGCGGAGAGGGACGAAGATGGATCTTGCTTGGCATCCTATCGGCCTCGCATCCAACTCCTCGTCAGGCCTGAACGAAGAATTGCAAGGCCACCACCCCCAACACAGGATGAAATTACCGCCACACGCGACATGGATCAACATGTCCGCGCGTGTCGGATCAGTGTCAGACAACAAGTCCGGAGGATGGTATAGTTACCGCTCTAGCAAGGCGGCTGTTAACAGCTTGACTAAAAGCTTTGATCATCAGCTGCAGAGCAGGAGCGGGAAGAAGGCCATGTGTGTCGGGTATCATCCGGGGACGGTGAGGACGGACTTGTCGAGGGATTTCTGGGGGAGTGTGGCGAATGATAAGATTTGGGGGCCGGAGGAAGCGGTGGTGAAGATGGCGGGGGTTATTGAGGCGCTGGGAGAGGGGCAGAGGGGGAGGATTTGGGATTGGAAGGGAGAGGAGGTTTTGCCTTGAATGTGAGTTGAGTGAAGAATTGAGAAGTGGTTGGGAGAGACGGAAACGTTGGGGTGGTTGTTGGGAAGGAAATTCGAGGAGTTATTGATGGAGTTTGGTGTGGGAAACGTCGAAGATTTTCAAAGTTAAGAAGGGATCGTGTTTGAGAAAAAAACTTAACCAGAGCTGGGCATGGCTAGGAAACCTGTCAGCACTGGAACTCTAAGATCTTTTAGGGATGAATTAAGGTGTATTAACTGTATCAGTCGTGATCCATCATCAAAGTTCTATCCTCCGCCAACGAAGTAGACCAGCTCAGCCAGACTTGCGCCTCCATACCTCACAAAGCCGCGCCAACCCTTGCTTGGACTGCGATATTAATCGTACATGGGTGTTTCTAACCCTCTGTCCGTTGTTGCTTTTCTGTCCTCTCATTTCTCAGCTGTTATAGGGCAACATCCTGGAACGACGCTCCATCAGGTGATTTTCCTCCCTTGGGATTGAGACTGTCATCCTTGTCATCGTCTTCCTCTTCGTCACTTTTGCTCTCCTCGGCGTCTTCCACCGTAGAAGCAGGTCGTGCTGCCAGACCCTGTTCCTCCTTTTCGTGGGCAAGCGCCTTTTGCTCGTCATCTTGTTTGACCTTGTCTTCTGGTTCAGACGCTACGTCACTCTCGTCATCTCCTTTCTCGGATCCAGTATCATCCTCCTGCTGCACTTCTGTCGTTGTGGCCTCTACACTAGGCTCAAGTGCTACCGGCTGTAGCTCCTCCTCTTGCTTCTGCTCTGGAACCTGTTCCGGCACCGGCACCGGCTCTGGCTCAGCAGGCGGTGGTGGTGTAGGTTTATTCACATCAGGACTGCGCACTCCATTCGTAGGCGGCGGGCTCGTCTGCTTCGGCTCAGGTACCGGCGGCGATGGTTGCGGCGGCAACTCCTTGTGCTGTGAGAACGCAGCAGACACGCTCCTATTGTGCTGCATCGGTGGGCTTCCTCCCATATCCGCCGCCGACGGTCCCATACCCACTCGCACAGCGTCCAGGTAGAACTTGGTGACACCTAGGATCCTGCCGTTCCTCTCGCACGCCTCCACCCACTCCGGCCTGACCACGGGAATGTTGAGCTCGTTCGCCTTCTCCCATTGCACGCCCCGGCCCTCAGTGGTGACAAAGTGTGTCGTATCGATTCTAACGCTGTCGACAAGCTTGGCGCCAATCCGATCCACTGAGCGCGCCAGGGACTCCCTGACCGCGGGAGGCAGGATGCCCGTGGTGATGGTGATGCCGCTGAGGTCGGTCATCTTGTGTGTGCGGACCACGACCTTCTCGCTGGCCAGAGTACCGGCCGTTGTGCGCAGCACGAGGTGGAATGTGTACTCGGTGTCGACGGCCAGACCAGAGATCTTGGTCGAGTGCATAGCGGTTGGTTTGGGGATGTTGCCGGCCTTTTGGCCATTGCGGTAGAGGGCCAGGCTGATCAGGTCGGCGGTCGCGAGATCGATGGGGTCCCATTCGAGGACCACGCTGGTCTGGGTGGCATTGCGACAGCGGAGGTTGGGGGCCTTGGGCTCGGCGGCACCTAGGGCATTGAAGATCTTGTCTTGGAGGGCACGGAAGGCGCCTTCGGCTTCGCCTTCGGAGGAGACGTTGCGGGCGACGGTGACGTCGACGATGGAGCCCGAGGAGATGTCGGGTGGCAGGAGGATGGATGGGAATTCGATCTGGGAGATGATGTGATTAGTATATGTTCATTGACATGTTCTTTACGAGAGTTAAACATACCAGTCGCTTGTCAGGAGTCAGGAGGACGGTGACGCCGGCGTCGACCTTGCCGACGGTCAGGGAGACGAGCATGATGGTTCGCGATGGGAATGTGATTTATGAACGGATTGTTGGTCTGTCAAGCTTTGGGGTATATGTAGGTAGCTCCTGTGTATAGCTTCGACCCTGGATTTCCAAGTGCCGTGTCCTCTTTGGAAAGCTGCAGATAAGCTGTCCAGTTGGTAAAAGAGTGCAGATAGCAGCTAGCGCAGTGCGATTCTCGAGTGGTGACTTGGTTGGTTGAGGTTGTCTTTGTGATACTCGAGCCAAGAGGATGGAGCAATCAAGCTGTCGCCAAATCTCACGGACATTGCCTAAACTGGACCTCAATTGGAGCTGCCCTGAACTGCCAGCGGATGGCCAGCGACTGTGTCCAGTGGTTGACCTCCCCCGGAGCAGCTCCCTTGAGGCGGGGGCACCTCTCAGTCTCTCACCGAGAAATGTGGGGCTTCCACTTTGGCCGGAAACGCACACCTTGAGAGCCTCTGCTTGGCGCCAAGACTTTGATCCTTCCCCTGAATGGCCCCACTCAGAAAGGTACGCACCTTTTCGACTTCTGATGAGATGGTATGAAACTCTGGTTTGAGAGTTGTCGTGAGAGCCTGGAGGCTTCTTGGTTGAGTAAGGATATCTTACTTGTGCTAATTTATCTCTGTGTGTTGTACAGGACATGGACATTACTGTTACTCCGGATGCCGTAAGAGCAGACAGCGGGCTACCTACAAGGCTTTATAGGAAGTCAACACTCGTGTTTGCTCCCATGGGTTTACCAGAAGTCGTCTCGATCCTGCTTCTCAGTCCTAGTTCGATCCTGGGCTTGATGACGAGTTCGGAAGCGTTCGGCCAACTGTTGTGCACGAGAGCGGTCGGCATCGCCTTTTTAATTTCCATCCTCTATTCTTGGCTTCCGAACCCGGTTGCCAGCACGAGTGTCGGTTGGTGTCCCTCTGGTGTCTCTATAACCTCCGGCACTTGACTGTCCTGATCCACGCTGTTGTGGCTGATTGCTGTGTCCTCTGTGTTGAGGTGACTGTTCGCCAACCTGAACCCGCCTAGACTGAGCCTGTATCGGCCATTGTGGTACTCGGAGCTGTTGGATGACAGACTTCTTCATCAGTCTGTCAAGCTCGTCATGGACCTCCTGGTCGCTCATCCTGATGAACTCCTTGCCGTGTGAGATGCGAAGGTGGATGGTGCCGTGGAGGACCGATATGTCGTCGAATCCCGGTAATCGATCCCCCCAATGGCCATATCCATTGGCGTTGAGAACCTTGACGAGGGCCGTCCTCAACCGTTTCACGCACACAGTCTTCACTACGGGACGAAGGTCGGCGTCAGAGTTGTAGACGAATATCCATAATGGCCGGTGCTTCTTGGAGGTGAAATGGTGGAGGAACTTGTCCGTCAAGGGATGCTCTTGTACACCGAAATACTTGGTGACTGCCGTTCTTGTATAGCAATGTCTCGGGCTCGTCGTGACCATGAACGGAGCATTGGCAATATCCTGTCCTCTGACTGGCTTGACCTCGAAATAGGTTCCGATGTTGAGGGCGTCGGACACGGCCTTGACTCTTTTCGACAGTACCGGCTCGCTATATGGACTCCAGGCTATCGGCGTGTAGCCAAATCCTTGCATCCCATCTTCCCCGCTGTTGGCCCTCATGCCTTTGCCTCGCCGTTGATCACAGCCTCTGAGTATCAAAGGTTGTAGTGGTCGCCATCTCGCTTTGATAGTCGACGCCAAGTCAACAAGGCCAGCTGACCTGGCACACTTCAGGAAAGAAGGCAAGGACATGTAAGGTGACCAGTCGGCTTAGCTCAGCTAATGACGTGAAAAGTTGTCGCTGCGGGTGAAATATCGAACATGGTGATGGCAGATGCAAGACGCCATGAGTGGGAATGAGACGTGCGGTTACTGTCGTCGTAAAGTATTTTACCAGCATTCACTTTACCGTACGTAACAACTCAAGCGAATTTGGTCCCACTCCAACCAACCACATTCACGGGGTTTGAGAATGCCAAGTCGTGCCTCGGCGGCCGCCATGACTCAACTGCGACTTTTTGCCTGCATAACGCATATTCTTATTCGTCAGAACGGAGGTTCGAGCCACCCTTTTTCGCCCATTTTACCCTCTAACCTTGAAACGCCCCTCGTTCTTCGAGTTTCCCTTTAGATTTCTCCCAGTCCGTATCAGAGATTCTCCACCACCAACAATACCAAAACGCCTTCGATTCATTACGAACCAGAACAGGGCCCGGGCGTGCGAAAAAAGGTACCCAGAACCCGCCGTGCTCCAGTGCTCCAGCAGTTCTTTTGACCCCAACCAAGTCCGTCATCCACTCCACGCAGCCGTTGCTGGATTTTTGTCTTCCCTTCTCGCAACACCCAATTTACACACCGCAACCACACCGGCCAGCCGACACCCTCAAAGTCGACAACAACAGCCAACATGCCTAAGAATAAGGGAAAGGGTGGTAAGAACAGGAGAAGGGGAAAGAACGAGAACGAGTAAGCATTTTTCTTTGCTTGGTGTTGCCCGCCCGCCGACGACGACGACCAGCAAGATCCATCGCGCCGCCCCGCATCGCCGCCCACTACCAAGCAACCATGGCGATATGCGCGCACACTAGCTCGTCGTCGACGGAGTCGCATGTCATATTCTTTGCTTCTTCATATGGCTAACCTCTTCCAACAGCAATGAGAAGCGCGAGTTGACCTTCAAGGAGGAGGGTCAAGGTACGTGAACACCCACGGTGTGTGGCGAGCGAGCGAAACGCACACACAGCAAAAACCTGTGATGTCGACGCTCATCCATGCCTCACGACAACGATAGCAAACGAACAACAAGCTCACACATATCTTTCTCTACAGAGTACGCTCAGGTCATCAAGATGCTGGGTAACGGCAGACTCGAGGCCATGGTATGTCCCGCCCCTCGCCGAACTACCAACGAAGCAAACAAATATGCTGACTTTTCCCCGCTTTCAGTGCTTCGACGGTGTCAAGCGCCTCGGTCTCATCCGTGGCAAGCTTCGCAAGAAGATCTGGATCAACAACGGTGATATCATTCTTGTCTCCCTCCGTGAATACCAGGACGAGAAGGGTGATGTTATCCTCAAGTACTCTGCCGACGAGGCCCGTTCTCTGTAGGTTTAATCTTTCCCCTCCACCTTCTCCCGGTCGTTCAGTCAGCAAACAGCTCACTAACCTCCACCCCCACCAACAGGAAGGCCTACGGCGAGCTTCCCGACACCGCCAAGATCAACGAGACCGACACCTTCGGCCCCAACGAGGATGGCGACTGCGGCTTCGAGTTCGACGAGGACCGTGACTCCGAGGACGAGGATGGCGCCGAGGCCGGCGGCAAGACCGTTGATATCGATGACATCTAAACGTGTCGTCGACCTTTTTCAACAACCATTTCGTCGCCTTGTTCTTCTTTCATGAGCACCTATAAAAGAAGAACGAGGCAAACGAAACCAACCAAAAAGTTACCGAAACATGCGAAATAACGCCACCCTTTCCCACCTTCCTCTTTCTTCCCCACCCTCTCCCTTTCACCTTACTTTACCAAGTTGTATACCCAAAGGGTCCGGTCAGGAAGCAAAGGTGTCGTCACGGAAAGTCCAAAAAGCTGTCTTCTCTCTCAAACCACTCTGGTCTCTGTCGTCGGTCCGCCGGCCGTACGCAGCCCATATCTAATCACCATACACCGTCAACAGCAGCCCGGTTTGGTCCCCGACAGTTAGGTGTGCCTGTTATTTCTCATTGCTTTTTCGGTAACAAGACAACAAATCACAAATCAGGAGGAGAAACTGGATCCAGGTATAATGGTGGGAGGGACGTCATTTACCTGGATCTGGTCGGAGTCGAGGGTGTCCTACGAAGGAAGGACGGGCCGAAAAAAAGGGAGGGACATAGAGAGCATATATCCGCGGGCGAAAAGGGTATGCACTATGGGATATCAAAAGGGGTTGGGCTGTTTTTTGATAGAATGGCTTCATGATCGTCTTTTATGTTCTTTCAGTCAGGGGCTCTCATGTCTGGTTTTCTTTTTCTTTTCTTGAGCTAGTAGGAAATGGACTTTTAGTATGAACAACTCTGATGACCGTGCTTGCCGTGTTCTCATGTGAGCTTTTTGGTGAGTCTGCATCATTTCAACCTACAAGTGCCTATCTCGGTTTTTGAGAATTACCATCCTCTTTTCTATCCTCTCTCACATCCTCTCTTCACACCCTCTCTTCATTTCTCTCTTCACATCCTCTTCAAGTGGCTATAGTCTCTCCCACATTTCTCACTCGTAACTTCATGCCGGCTCTTGGCGACACCACTCACCTTCTCTTCAAATCATGCTCTGCATCACTGTCAATATGAAACTTGACATAACTACTCCCATAGTTTAGGAACTCGAGAACGTTTCAAATCAATTCTTTTCAACACCAGGAGTGAAGTGAATATTTCCAAATACGGTGAAGCTATATATGCAACAACACTGTCATCCCTTCCAAACCTCGTGTTCTCTTCATCTTCTCTCATCTTCTTTCCTGGTCTTCCCCGGCTTCTCTCTTCCTACTCCTGCCTAATGCTTTCCATAGACTTGCGGCTCCGACCTGGGCAGCAGTTCGAATGATTGCTGACTGTCGGCGTTTCTTCATTCTTCCTTTCCGCCCCTTCTGCACTCTTCACCTTATCATCATCGGCATCGGGCACCTAATCCCAATCATCACCATCATCTTCATCATCTGTTCAATATTGGTTAGCACCATGCCATCATAACTCACCAACATGTCTCGGAATAGGGAAAACTTACCACTCTTGCTAACCTTCTCCTTCCTCTTCTGCAACGCCAACGCCAACGCATCAGCCATTCCACCACCGCCACCCGGCGCAACTCCAGCAGGCGGCAATCCACTACCAGCCGGCCCAGTATCGGAGCTACCAGGAACAGTAGCCGCGGAACGATCGCGAACCAAGCTTCTATCAACCTTCTTCAACGCCCTGATACCTCCCGCGCCCTTGATACCGTCCAACACGGCCGCGCGAGTGCCATCAACAGGGGCAAGGCAGCAGCGGCGCGGGGGCATACCACCTGGAGGTAGGGGGAGGGGGGAGGAGGGGGGAACACCGGCCCATTACCACCCGGTGGAGGAGGCGGAGGAGGTGGTGGAGGGACGCCGCCCATGCCGCCCGGGGGAGGAGGAGGAGGTGGAGGCGGGGGTGGT